CAAGCAGCTGGCATGCTCATTACAGCGCCCGAAAGCAGTATGAATAATACTGTGCAGCTTGGAATGGAGAGGAAATGAATTAAAAAACAGCTTGATACAGGAATCGAATGGAGCGACTTTGAATATCTGAAGCTTAAAGAGATGAAAGTGAAAAAAAAAAAAAAACATGATACGCTGTGACCGCCGGGCCACAGCGTTGCATGGTGAAGCGTCGGCAGACACTGGCTTACACTGTAACCCGAGCTATAACACATGGGCAACTACAAAATTCATGAACGTGGGCGCAGTTTTCGAACCTGGGGCCTGGAGAGTAGAGTTCTGATACCCGGGCTAAGAAAAAAGTCAAAAAAGACAATGATCACCGTGACCGTCAGGCCACGGCTAGCATGGTGAAGCGTCGGCAGACAAGAGCTTACACAGTAACATCAATTATAAGACACTGGATCAACCCCAACCTCTGCCGAAAACCGAGAGGCAGCACGGTTTTCGAACGTGAGAGCCATGGAGATAGAGTTTCATTGCCATGTACGGTGAAAAAAAAACACAACGTTCACTGTGACCATTCGGCCACAGCTAGCATGGTGAAGCGTCGGCAGACAACATGTATAGACGCAACTTGGTCTATATCTCTTTTGGCAGAAGTGTTCATCCACATCCCGACGCAACTTGGAGGCTTTCGAACCGAGAAACAGGGAACAGAGTTTCAAAACGAGCAAAAATACACCAGTGACCATTAGGCCACAGATAGCATGGTGAAGCGTCGGCGGACAAATACTCACTGCGTAACTTGACATATACCTCACGCGATTGCGATGCACGTCTGCAAGACGCACGACTCGGGTTTTCGAACTTGGGCGACATCAATAGAGTTTCATCTATCGGCAAAAAAAGACACAACGTTTCACTATGACCATTAGGCCACAGTTAGCATGGTGAAGCACAGCAGATAAACACTTACTACATAATCTGGCCTATAGCACATTGAAGCAAAGCGAGAAGCCTTGGAACCCAAATGCGCTTGCTGTCTTTCGAACTTGAGAGCAAGAGAACAGAGTTTCAATCTGCAGCGAAACAAAAAAGGTATGTTCGCCATGACGATCAGGCTACAGGTATGACCAGTATGGTGAAAGGTTGGGTGAAAGGTCGGCAGAGAACATCTCCCCGCGCAAACCAGATTATAGCCTGCTTGTAAAGAGAACCAAGAAATCTGAGCCTATAGAAAGGTTCAAAAAGTTGCAATGCACAATTTTCGAACCTGGGAATAATTACAAAAAAGGACAAAAAAACATGGTTGCCATGGCCCATTGGGCCACAGCGCGCATGGTGAAGCGTCGCCAGACATTCAACTTGAAGTTTTCAGCCCTTATATAACTATTGCAAGTGCTACTGCCATACAGGCGCTTTAACTACTACATGCGAGAGCCAAAGTGATCAACAGATTACGGTTCAACCAGAGCTAAAGTGCTTCAAAAAGAGATTTGAGTATGTATTATACTAGAGAATGCCATAATACATCTCATTCGAACCAGAGAACAAGTGTGAAAAAGGACCAAAAAAAATATTCAGGATGGTTGCCGTGGCCCATTGGGCCACAGCGCGCATGGCGAACCGTCGCCAGACATTAGGGTCTTAGATACCGGACCTTATAAAGCTATTGCACCTTCTTTTAGGCGCCAGTGAGGAGGTAGCCGCCAAATTTGATCGATGTGTGAACGGACGCAGTGTATACACTTCGGCAAGCTTACAGGGCCATGTTGTACAGATGGTCCAGAAATTAATAGACTGAGCATATTGATACCATTGTTTTGAGGTTTTACCTCGTAGATATCCGCAGAGAACAGGGGTGATGGTTAGCTGGGTGCATGGTCTGGTGTCGGCAAAAAGGGCGTGGAGTGCATGGGAAGGAGCTCCGGCAGCCACTGTAAAGGACTCTCTGAAGTCTCGGTGGCCGAATCGAAACCCATCAGCTAACTTCACCACACTAGAGCAAATCAGCTATTAAAAGTACATCATCGCCATCGACACGCAACAAAACACCTTGTCAAGATGTTCGAGCCTGCGAAGACCACTTCAAATGCGCCATGAAACCTGCCTCACGAACTCAACGATTCGCTCGCAAAGTCCATGAAAACCTTCGAAACTGAAAGGAGCACCGAGCTCTAACAAACTCGTCATCAACATCGCGTACAATACAGCAATACGCACGAGGCAAAGACAACGAACCACGGTACAGAAGTACTTCGTCAAATTTCTGAAGCGACAGAGGGTTGGGTCTGGTGTTATAGCTCGGAGGTCTAACGGACGAGAGAGCTACAGATTTACGAACGGCCGATGCATTGGGGAGTGGTTCAACAGCAAAGTCGAGCAATTACCCCTGACCCGAACACTGGTGCTGGTGCAGCGTGCCAGTCCTTTCTTTCTCGACGTACCGGATGATCTTCTTAAGCAAACCATGAGGGCAAGATCCTCGAACAGAAGAAAGCTCCTCGACTTTGGCACACATTGCACCGCCGCTGCCACTGATCTGCATCTGAGTAACGAGGAGAAGGATGTTTGCATTCGTTTTGACTCCGACCCAACGCGTCTACTGAAAGCGCACAAGAAAAAGCCCCCGCGATATCAACGAACTCCCAGATCAACAGCAACAAGGGGATAAACCATCAACAGGCAGCCATCATAACGGAAGTGCTTCGAGGTGAATGGTTTATGAGAGGAAATGCGGAGAATGGCCAATGCTCACGTCACGAAGCTTCTGGAACCAAGAGGCATCGGTTGGAATGTATGAGGGCGTTTCGGGGGCACCGAGTCCAATGGAACTCAAGAAGTCCCTATTGGTTATTATAAAATGTTTCGCGAAACCTGCCAAAGCTTATCGTCTCACAACAAGGTGAGCGAGCCAGGGGATTGGCAGAAATTTGTTTCTCTGATACAGTTTAGGCAACAAGCACAAAGACTCACACGGAAGATTCTCTCAATATCGAGGCAACAGGCAACAGCCTATTGTCTCTTGTATTTAGCAAGTTTAATCTGTATTCACTTCCTTTCATAATGGGCCTAAAGGAGACCTCGAGATATTACCAATAATGCCAGATGACCTTGAAGCTTACTAGCAGGCTTACGGTAGCAGGAAGCTGATAAGATAAATTAGTATATAGAATAGACGATTAGGATGAAATTAGGATGTGTTTATGGCTGTTGCGAGATCTTTGGAATGTTTCTCGGCATGTGTTGCTTCGCTCCCGTCACCGAGGATCCCAGGTGGCTTCGGGTTATCGCTTTCGTGCTCCGATCTTCCGTAGTCTGAAAGCGGCATAATATGAATATTGTCGCCCAATAGGTTAAATTCATTACTGCAAATTGTCCCTTTGGACAAGCTCGTAAGCTGACCTGATGCGTCAACATGGTATTGTTCCCGACAAGCCGTCGGCTGACTCCTGCATCTATCCCGTGCTTCCTGTCAATCAACTTCTCAACTCGGAGAATCTATTACGTATCTGCATCTTCTTCTACATATAATGTCAAGCTCAATGTCAGAATGGGCTGGTCTGGAATGGTCCTTGCAGATCATAGCGCAAAGCGGCCCAAAAAGAGGCGTCTTGCCTGAAACCGCGAATCTAAAATTGGCAAATCATCTCTTCGGCATGGATCACCGCTGGGCATGTCTTTTCAGCTGAGGCTTTCTTGAGTGCAGTGATGATGGTACTGCGTCATGGCTTGTCCTATTGAAGTAGTTATACGAGGTGGCGTTCATTCCCTCGTGGTACTGTAATCACGGTTAATAAGTGAAGCGGCTGGAGCGGGTGAATGAACGGATCAAACCCTATGCTTAAGTACCTTATGGATAGGCTGATTCGAATTGATTAAGCTTATTTAGAAACTTATAACTACCGACTTCCCCGCAAGAATACTGATTGATCGCCAACTTCACTCCCATTACTTTACAATGTTGTTCCAAAACATCCTCATTGCCGCTTCCATCGGCCTCGCAGCCGCCTCTCAATCCTCTGGCCAAGGATGCGGTTTCAAAATTGCACCTTGTCCCAGCGACACCACATGCAAGCCAATTACGGCCAACTGCAAAGACCTCAACAAATGCTCAGGCATGTGTTACTTCAAAAACGAATATCAAACCTGTGGAGGCTTCCGCGCCACGCCTCCTCCGCCTTGCAAGAAGGGTACCCACTGTGTTGATGACCCTCGAACTCCTGGTGATTGCGGCATGGCTTGTGACAAGCCTGGGATCTGCGCGCCCAAGAAACCTCACACATGCGGGGGAATCACTGGAAAGCAGTGTCCTAAGGGCCTGTACTGCTATGATGATCCATCGGATGACTGTGATCCTAAGAAGGGAGGGAATGATTGCTCTGGAATTTGCCTGTAGGGAGCAACTTTGAGGTCACGCGCATGACACGACTTACGGAATTTCCCTGTTTCTCATTTTGAGAAGTTTTCTGATGAATATAGCGGACTATCTAAAGGATGAGCTGAAAGCTTTGTGCATGTCTTGTCTGCCATGTGAAATCGTGACGACTGAACAACCAATAAAGTACGGAGTAGAGATCAACCTCTACGTCAAGGAAATATTTCAGTTACAATCACATGGCCTCAAAATATCCTCACGTGGTTGATTTGGGGAATGACAAGCTGAAACACCGTCAGCTGTAAAAACGAGTGATCGCCGTGCATGAAATCCGCCCCTCAATGCGTTTCAAAACATTGGTGTCAAACATGTAATTTAAACCAAATGTCCAAGCTCTACCAATTGTTTCTTGAGCTGTGAATCCTTCCATTTTGATGAGCTTTTGCGAAACGAGATTGGATGATTTATTTCAAGGGTTGGCCAATGATCGTAAATCCTTTTCAACGCCAAACGCGGGATGTTTCATGAACGCGGCTCGGGATTAATTTGTTTGGGAAAATAATTGCGATCAACGCAAGGGCTTCTATTCATCTATGTACCAGTGAAAATATGCTGGGAAATCGTATCAAGCTGTGCACTTTTACAGTAATTGCCAAAGCGCGGCTGCAACACCAACGGCAGCGTAAAAGGTAGGGCCTGCATAATTGGCGACGTTGGAACCGTCGGTCGGAGACGGCGCTGCAGTAGCGGTATCGGCAGTCCCGGTAATCGTGACAACAGAGTCATCGCTTGTCTGATCAGCCGTAGCTTCAGCTGCACTGCCCGATGCGTCGGTCGTTCCTTTTGGCTTGCTGACTGTCGTCTTGATCGAGGTTGCGGTTGTTTCAACAGCTGATGACTCAGAAGTGACCTCAGCTGTGTTGTCGCTTGAGGTCTCCTCAACCTTAGATTCTGTCTTGGCCTCTGTAGTAGTGGTCGGAACCGCATCTGTCGTCTTTCCAGCTTCGGTGGTTGGGTTCACCTCACCACTGGCGCTGGTAGTTCGTGCATCGACAGCTGTAGTCTCATCAGTCTTGGGAGATCCACCAGAGCCTCCGAGATCAATAGGCTTTCCAAGTTCTGGATTTTGTCAGCAGTGTCTTTATGAACGAGCCACTGCACTTACTCGAGCAAAGCTCATTTGCCCAAGTCATAGCCTCATCCTTCTTATCGGCGCAAGTCTTGTCGGCGCATTGAACAAAGTTGTCCTGCAGCGTAGGCATTGTACAGAAGCAGAGATAGTTCGTGGCCTCTTTGCACCCTGCAGGAGGGCCATTCGTGATGAGGCCTTGGAAGCAGTCAATCTGTCGCGTCGTTAGTATTAGAGAACTATAAGACGGTGGGTTTCAATTCCATACAGCACATGTAGAGTCGGCTGCGGTGGCGACCGAGGCCATAAAAAGAGCCAAGTGGATGGAAGTAGGTATTCTCATTATGGCCGATAAGAAAGGTGTACTTAGGTGATGGTGGTGATGTTTTAGGCAAAGCAATGAAGGAGGATGGTGATATATGCATGAGAAATAAATATCGAATGATGCCCCTGCCCTTAGCCGTGTTTCAAGATCGTCTATGCAGGACCTTGGTCGATCCTACGTTTCATCCCTCGGCCCCTTGTCAAACTCACCGAAACAACCCCCTCCCAGAACAGAACGGATTCCTGACTAGTGATTGGATGCGAACTGGCTCGATTGAATATCAAGGACTATCTGTATGTGACGTCTCATCATTATCAAACTAAGATAATCTTGACTCTACCGCAGCGGTGATGGGTATGCACGACATGAAGTTCAGACTATTTCCATCATTGAAATCAAGCGACTAGCATATGGATTGGAGATTTCTATTAATTGTTAATGCCTCAGCCGGGGACCTGTAAGCAGTGTCAGAAGAGCGACTACCAGTGCTCTGGTCCAATTTCGACAGCGTTGACGTCAACACCGTCCTTAAACCAACGGTCCTCCTCACTGATCTTGACGTTATTTCCGCTCATTTGCCTCTTCTTCATCAAGCCATTCTCATCAAAGGTCCAATCCTCAAGTCCGTAGCATCGCCACCACTGATTATCATCATCGCGAAATTCATACCAGAACTGCACGGCAATCTGCGAGCGTCAGAATGAGACTTTCATGAAGAATCAAGAGAGCTTGAGCTTTATCCGAGAATTGACTCACCTTGTTGTCATCAAAAGCAAAAAGTTCCTTACGCAATTTATAGTCGTGTTCTCGATTCCATTTATCCGTCAAGAATTTCTCAATTTGGTCACGGCCTCTGACGAAGGTATCGCGATTGCGCCAGATTGAGTCAGGCGTATAGGCCATCTTGACCTTTGCTGGGTCCCTTGAACATAATGTGAGTTAGAAGGCTTGCTTAGCAGTTGAGGGGATCTTACTGAGTGTTCCATCCATCTTGAGCCGCTTTGACTTTGACGTGAGCACTCTCTCTGGTGTAAGGTGGGAAAGGGGGTCGTTGTTCAGTCATGTTGTCGATTGGTGAGATCTAAGATGAAGTAATGGATATATCGAGATGTAGTTGAGGAGCTGAGGCATAAGCTTTATACTATCTGAGGAGAAGATATGCGGCGAAAGCGGGGCTTATTGCGGCGCGCTGACTGCGGCGATCTCGGTGATGACTTGAATGTCACTCCTGAATAAGTGATTACGCAGCATTACAAAACACTTAAGTCAAGCTAGATGCCGAGAATCCGTGTGAAGCTAGTGAGGAAAGCAGTTCGAGTCATTGTTTGTGGTCATAGTCTAAAGAACGAGATTTTCATGTATATGCCTCATATTTGGTTCGGTACATATTCCTGTAATGGTTGGCATAAGTAATAGTATACATTTAACTTTGGCACTAGAGACAGTTTATGAACTATGAATATACTCGTAAGCCTTCACTTCAATAATACACTATTAGCTGACAGAAATTTACTTTTACGCAGTACGGGAAACTCGCTCTTTTGATGGACAAGGATTCTAAGTAATTCTAGAGAATTGATGTCAGACGGGAGATTCAAAGGCAGTCCCAGAAATAAGATCAAAAGTTGGAGAGTTATAGGCTGTTGCCAGTCCAGGAGGACAGCCTAGATTCACCGAGTGATATAAGCGTCCAGCTACAGTTTTCAACTGTGAATGATAGAGCAGATAGCTATTCATCGTCCTCTATACTAGAACGATTCGCTCAACTTTCGAGTCCTGGTGGCTTGATTCCGCGAACTGCCCCTTGAACATGAACCCATCAAGGAAAATCTCCCCTTTTACTTCATATCGGAGCGGCCCATCGGTGCTAGGGGACAGCAAAACGGGGGTACTGCAGCCCCCAATGATCCAAACCTTATCTCCAATCGCAGCACCCTCCCGACCAAGGCCCATGTAACCCTTGGAAGTGATGAATGGATCCCAGGATACCAAACGCTTCATTCTGATAAATGCCTTTTGTCCCTGTCCCGTGCCACTGCTTTTGGGCTTGAATCCGTACGTTTCGAGCCGCTTACACAATGCTGAGCCACTGCACCAGTTGTAGAAGATTGTTGGAATATCATCCGGTGAGGGTACGGGCTCTAGGTAAATCCCATCTAGACTCAAAGTTCGGATGAAGGCTTCTGCCCGACTGACGGCATCTGAATACGGTTCAGGTTCATCCGCTGGAGTCATCCAGAAATCCAGATACTGCTGGTATAGTTTTGAGTTGGCATCCGAGAAATCTGGGGCTCTATCACGAGGACAGAAATCAGCTATTGAACTGATCTTATCAATCAAGACTGCCGAGACCGTCAACTGCTCTCCCTCAAATGAAGGGCTGAAAGGAATTGCTTCAGAGGCATTAAAAAAGCTCTCCTCGTGGTCGAAATGACTGAGACCCAGGCAACGTCTTAGCCTCTGTGAGTGCCAGTTCGGCACCCAAGAAGGGCCTGCGAAAGGACGCAAAACTGGGTTTCCAGGTGATCCAGAGCAGAGGGTATTGCGTTGCTCAGGGGCACAGAGGCCAAGAAACTCCAAGTTACCGTGTATATCTGCGTGCAAAATAGCTGAACGCTTGTAGACCTCCTCAGGCTCGAGGTCGTATCGAACCGAAGTTGCATCAGCCTCCCGAGAGTTACAAACACCTAGTAACGAATAGACCTGATCGTGAGCAAAAGTTGCTCAGCTGAAACGGAGATGCTCCATCAGCCAGAAAAGACCAAACTGGTTTTGATCTTTTTCCAAGGCTTGCCTGAGCTCTCTCAACACCCTCACAGGCCGTACTTCGCCCGTGTTGCCACGCTTGAGCTTTTTCATCGGTCGTGGTCGAGCAAGTAACGACTTAACAGCCATGTCAATGCCCCGGAACACATCATCCATGGAGATTGAGTCTGGCCCACAAAGAAAAATGGCGGTCTTTTGGAGCACAGATTCTTGAATCACCCATCGTCGATGGAACCACTCGCAACCAAGCAGGCCTCGAATTGCATCCCAGCCCATAGGATCAAATGGGATCTCGTCGCCCGGATGATGTGAACTGAGTCGACGCAAATACTGAAATGCATAGCGCAAGAAGCTGTCGTATTCATGAATCCACACAACCACGGACCTCGCTCTTGAATAGATATCTCGCATCAGCGGAATCTACAACGCCTTCTCATTATTGTCCAGCTGATCGATGCAGATCATGTCGATCCACATCGGTAGCCTCTCATTACCTTCCCAGATTTGTGGCAGGGTTTCAGATGTATGACAGAGCATGTTGACGAGAAAGGATTCCAGGTTGAGAGAAATCGGTAGATTCTTGACTCCACAGCCTGACTCAAGAGACATAGTCCGGTCTGCTTTCTTGTCTCCCCAGACATGTGAAACGGACATGAATGCAGGCGCACTGCCTATGCTGAATCGTCGTACACGGCCGTTTAGATCCCCTGAAGTAGTTGCGGGAAGAAGATCGAGTAGCCGTATTTCATGCGCCGGCTCGCGAAGGCAGTAATAATGGCTAGAGCCCATTTCGACGGTGAGATCTGGAATGCCAGTATTCGAGTTGAGATGACAAGGCTGCCGGTTCCCCCTCCTTGGGGAGCAAGAAAATACGAGACCTAAGTTTAGGGTGATAAAATAAACTCCACAAAAGGTATCCTAAACTCATCCTAAGTCACCTAAATCTTTTTATCAGTCAGGCTGAAGGTCTCGAGTTTTGTTTCCTCCCCTAGCCCCTCTTGTCTTATATTCGGGCTGACTCGGTCCGGCGCTTGGCCATCCAATCGAAGATGCAGCTGAATATGCCCCTGGCACTACGTACTCGTTTCATCACTCTGGTCACTTTTGCCAGAATCTATCTTCTGCTTGACCCGAAATGATCTCAGAAACATAGAGTTTGGTATCTATACTTGAATTAACGACTTGGAGGTTCCGATATGTATTTCAAGGCAAGAGAATCACGTGCCATCACGTTCCAAACTGCCTTGGCTTTGACCTCAGCTCCCAACCGACTTGAGTCTTACATCCTAGTAAGCCGCATGAAGATCTCATTGGCCATATGCAAAGCCAAGGGTTGAAAATTACAGATAAGGCTGCCTGTCAGGATGCAGCATGAACGCGGGGAACATGCACCTTTCATCTCGCTGCTTTTCAAGGTTGCCCATCACAAGTGCATTATCCACATCTATCATCCACAGCCATCATCAGCCTCTGTCAGTCCGGGTGGCAAGTCTAAAACAGCATGAAAGAGCTTGATCCTGCGCTATACACCATCGCATGGATAGCGCCTTTGGAGATCGAGGCACAAGCAGCTCTTCATATGCTTGATAATCGCCACGATGGAAGATTCCCTGTCAATCGAGGCGATGACTATATCTTCTCGGCGGGTGACATCAACGGCCATAACATAATCATCGCAACACTGCCTGCCGGCCAAGAATATGGAACTGGTTCAGCCGCTGCCCTTGCTAGCCAAATCAAAATGTTCTTCACTAACCTCTGGTGCGGTCTCCTTGTTGGAGTCGCGGCAGGTCTCCCAGATCTACGAAAGATACCGCCAATTGATATACGGCTTGGCGATGTGCTTGTTGGGCTATCAGAAGGAGAAAGTGCTGGTTTAGTCGCTTATGACTTGGGGAAAGAGACAACAGAGGGCTTTCAACTTCTTAGATCTGGTCAGGTCCTGGCGAATACAGAGACAGTCGTAAGATCAGCCATTGGCAACATCAAGATCAGGGCTCCGGATGACACTGATATCTTTCTCCCATTCTACAAGACTATCAAACACAAAGAACACCCGAAGGGGACATTTGTGGACCCTGGCCAGGAAAGGGATATATTCTACGATATCGATGATGATGGTGTTGACAGCCCCGTCCAAAGGTTGCCGCGTCCTGACGACAAGCGAACTCACGTATGGTATGGTTCTATTGGATCTGGGGACAAATTAACGAAAAATTCGCTCAAGCGCAATGAGATACGGGATCGTTATGGGGTGATCGGCTTGGAGATGGAAGCTGCAGGGACCATGAATCGCATACCTGTTGGCGTGATTAGAGGTGTTTGCGACTATGCCGACCAGCACAAGAACAAAGAGTGGCAGCCTTATGCTGCTGCCATGGCCGCAGCGTATGCGAAAGCTGTGATTTACGAATTAGGCCCGGGTCAAGTGATTCCGAGCTCCAGTATGACGAATGAGGGGAAACATGCCCTTTGCGGCACTATCTTATGTGACCTTCCGCCGACCACAGACCGTTTCTTCGGACGGGAATCTGAACTAATGGAGATGGTCGAATACCTCGAGGCCACAGACCAGCGGAGAGGCGTGGTCCTGTGTGGTATATCTGGGTCTGGCAAGACACAGTTGGTTCGCGAGTATGTGGCACAGCGAAGTGGAAATTTCTCTGCGATCTTATGGGTTGATGCATCCTCAGAGGAGAGCATAGAAGAGTCCTTTTCAGACTGCTCAAGCCGTATTTGCCAACACAACCCTGAATACCGAGTGGGGAGAGAAAGCACACCGCCACGTCAACTTGTTCTAGAATGGCTTCGGACAACGCCCGACAAGAACTGGTTGACTGTGATCCATAATGCGAATGGTCCTATCCCGAACAAACGCCTATTGGGGCCGTTTATGGATATGAATCATGGTTCTTTATGCGTTGTTTCGACAAATCAAGTCACAGCAAGAGCTGTGCGACTCAGACAAATCCTTGTTGAGCATCTTGACGCCAGGGCATCTCAGTCGCTTCTCCTGTGGAGAGCTTACGAGAATGACACGGAATACGAAGCAGATGGCAAGTTTATACTTTTACTTTTCCTTGTTAATTGCTGACTATTCAAAGTCAGGAACTCGGCCAGCCGTACGGCCAAGCTTCTTGGTGGGTTTCCTTTGGCTCTTGAGCTCGCGGGTGTTCTCCATCAACGAGGGATAGTACCCCTACATGAAGTTGCCACACACTTCACGAACGATTACCCAGAACTTGCTCAGTTTGAGATTGACTCTGGGGTCTGGATTTGGACCAGAGACGGAGCAATTAACTCTCTATTTAGCATGCTTGACTCGCTTTATAAATCTGTCTTGGCAAAGAGCGCAGATTTAGCTCTTCTAATGACCTTTTGTTCAATATATGGACCCTCCTCCATTCCTATTCAACTTATGCACAGTCTGAAGCTAGTCAGCTTGGGGGATGTTGATGACCAGAGCCCCTGGAAGCAGTTGCAAACTCTGATTCAGAGCAAATTCAAGCTCAACAGGGCTATCGATGAGCTAAGCAAAATCTTCCTCGCAACCAAGAAGCAAGCAAACGACAATACTCTGCTATCATTCTCCCTCCATTCTTCCATCTGCCAGTGGAGACTCGCTACCATGGAAGACCGGGACACCTGGATCATTCAAGCAACTTACAGTCTTTCAAAACATATTCTATCATTGCAGCACAAAGGCCACGTCTTCAGGTTCTACAATTTATTCAACAGGTGTCTAAACTTACTCTGGCAGCATATCGACACACAACATATCAGCATTTATGGGAAATTCGCTGAAGCATACTTTACGATATGTCTATGCGGTGCCGATGTTTACCTTGCAATGGGAAAGTCTGAAATTTCGAAAACACTCTTTGCTTCGGCAATCGACTACATTCGGCCGTCAGGCCCCGGTGACCCAGATGAGAGCATCATTCTACGGCTTCTCGTTGGCTTGGCAAGAACTTGTGAGAATATAGGAGACTTCGAAGTGGCCGAAGAGGCTCTATTGTCTGCTGTTTCTATCTCGGAGCGCTTGAATGGCCACATGCATGACCAGACAGCTGATCTGGTTTCACGACTCAAGACAGTGAGAGATCATATGTTGAACGAGCTGGAAAATCGCAAACGGGCTTTGGTGGCTAGCACAGGCCTAAACATGCGGAAGCAATGACTTCTAACTCGGACCCCCCCTCTGAGGTTAAGAACGAAGAACTTGGTACAAGGGATGACCTTATCCCCATTGCCAGCCCTTCTTCCGCGACAACGGCGACTTGGCCAAAGCTGGCTTGGGAACTTCGCTTTAACCAGACTCTTCTCGTCTTTAGCTTGCAAGACAACGGTAATGGCCAGCCAATTATATCGGATGCTTTTCCAAAGACGATTCAGGGGAGGCTGAACATCGTGACGTACGAAAACGTTGAAATTGAGGAGATCAGCCTTATAATATCTACTTTTGGATGGACCCCAAAGAATTCGAAAGGGCAGGAAAGTCGACGACCACGATTTTGTAAAAACGAGTGGAGGCTTCAATTCTGCGATGCTACCACATCCGATACAGACTTTGGAGCCAGCTGCACTTTCACACTGGACAATGAGAACTATCAAGAAGGTTTCAGGAAACCTGAGGATAATGGTGCCCCTGTAAAAGATCATGTTACCTTCCCACCAGGTTCCTACAGCTACTCATTCGAATTGCCTATTGATTGTCTTCCCATCCATGCCGAGAAACCTATCTATGGCGACATGGATTGGGAAATAGATGCTGTCATGGATCTCCCTGGCGATCATAGCGTTTCGATGGGAAAAAGACTACCGTCTGTTCGAATTCCGCATCAACTAATGACGAGAAAAGCTGCGGACACTCACTTATCTAGACAGCAGAATGATGGAGTTTCTTTCTGTGTGAACTTGCCGTATGAAGCTTCCGTAATTGGCGGCAAGCTTCTTATCACAGTCACTCTCGGCCCCGTTAACAATGGTCTTCGAGCTGACTACTTGACTTACTCCATTGTACAGAGACGCAAACAGTGGATAAAGGATCGCGAAAATGAAAAAGCAGATGAACGAAAGTTTGTGCTTTTGGAAACATTCACACTTGAGGAGTCGACCGCGGCGCGAGACAAGACGGATGGGGAAGATACAAGGTCCTCCTGTGATAGTGATGCATCCCCCAAGTCATTGTTCGAGGAAAGGCACCTACCGAGTCTAGATCCTGAAGAGCCAATTTCTATCTCTGATGATCTCATGTTGCCAACTTGTAAGCAGATAGGCGCTGGAAGGCGGGTGGGCCAGAAACCTTTGACGATGTCTTCCAAAACTCCATTCGAGGAAACAGAACACTTCATTGAGGTAAGTTCGTTTTGCAAGCTGAAAGGAAGACCCTGAAAAGAGCAATACAACCCGCGTCACCGTTAAAGTAGCCTTTGCGAAAAAGAGGGTATTGACTGCATGTGTCAATATGTGCTCTTTATGTTTCTGTGGGGATTGAAGCTCCCTTCGTAAGACTAATCATGCTTTTAGGTCACAGTGGGCGGATCACGTCCTAATTCAAAGATTTCAGGATCGCGTATTCAACTAGAGACGACTGAGGAGATTCCTATCACGATTATTGACTGTAGACTTACGCACAGGAGTGACCTCCCGATACACATTGCAGCTTATAGGCCGTCGGTCACAGGCAACAAAAGAACATTCTGTGGCTGCCCGGACGCAGCCAATCTCGAAGAAGAATCTCTCGATTGGAAATTTGACCGATTACTCGACATAGAGACGTCTGTGTACACAAGGAAGGTATATGGTGGAAGTGAAGATGACGTTCGACGAGAGAATGCGAGGCTTGAGGAATTATGGAATCGGCCGATTCAGAGCCCCAGCAAGCCTAATGATTAGGAATTCGACCATGCTATATCAAGCAGCTTCAGCACATCAGAGAGCTCATTAGATGCGCAGGATTTGTACCTAAATAGGGCTGTGAGCCCCTTGCAGAACTCTGGTTCTACTATCTACCGTCAGGGCTCACCGCCACCTTACCGTGATTAGCCAATATCATGGGCTGTTCACTAGGAAAAGGCGAGGCGAACGTTGGGAGGCCAAGACTGAATCACGCCTTTCAAATGACTTAAGAAGAAAGTCTGGTAATTACCTATTCCAGTGAACCACTTTCACTTCGTATAGAGCATCGAACAGCGTGATCTCACCCTATTCTATCTAAAACGAGCATCTCCCCAACCAGTCCTCCTCAACAGATCCACCTTGATATCACCAGCGGGCTTAAGAGACGTCAAAGGAAGCTTCGACCTGTCCATCCGAGGAACATCGAAGGTCTTCGTCGTTGGAGCCATATCAAAACCTAGCAGAACGCTTCCCGCAAAGGTCAGGACCTCGTAGGACGCAAAATGACGACCAGGGCAGAGGCTATTGCCACCACCAAACGGCCTGAACGCGGCAGTCCTTCGGGTCTTTTGCTCCTTGGTAAGGACCTTGGACTTTAAGAATCTTGTGTGGTCAAAGACATCCGCGTCTGTACCCCAGGTTGTTGGATCGGCGTGGATGAAAGCTGTTGGCATCTGAACTTGAGCTCCTTTCTTCAAGAGCCAACGGTCCTGGATGAGAGTGTCTTCGTTGGTATACCGCACAGTTGCGATGCCACTGGTCAATCTGAGGACTTCATCATATGTTGACATGAAGACTGGGCACTTCTCACGAATGGTGGTGTAGTCGAGAGATATTGTCCCAGAAGAAGAATCTTCAAGGGTGGCTTCCAGTTCGGACCGAATCTCCTTCAACAGATCTGGCCTGGAGAAGATCGATATCAACAGCCAGAATGTCGTGGGGATGGTGTTTCCAACAATCGTAAGGATGGTGCCAAGGAGAGCACGAGCATTATTCTCATTACTCAAACCTCGTCGGATACCCAGCCCGGAAAGTTCCTTAATGAACGAGCAAGCAGTATCCAGGCCGTCGTCGTTAAGATACTTCAAGAATGCATCGACTAGCTCTTTGCGAGTCTTCTGTGCTGTAGAGTGCTTCTTGGGGCTTAAGAACCAAGGGACTCCAAGGAGGAAAACCTTGATGTTAGCCTCCCAGGCCCTGTTCATGTTAGTCAACCTTCTTGTAACTGAGTTTAGGCTTCCTACTAAAATGTTGAGTTGAGTGATGGGTCAAGAGTGAAGGGATCTTTTTCGCCAAAGCAAGCAGAGTTGTTTGTTCTCATGAACAGATCCTGAACCCAAGCATATAGATCGATTGTCTGGCTTGAAGGAAGCTTATTGACGATGTTGAGAAGTTTAGCACGAATGAGTGTGCACAATTCATCAAGAGACTCCGTACCCGGGAGCGCGCGCAACGAAGCCTTTTGAACTTTATGGATCTCACCATACATGCCATTCTCAGTATGAGCATCACGAAAGATGAGTTCAATACCCGCCTCGTCGAAACCCATCATTCGACGAAACGCCGGGATCATAGCTGGGCTGAAAGACAGAGAAGTTGTGTTGCGCTGAACGGCTTGGAAAAGTTCTGGAGATGTCACGATGTAGTTTTTTTGTCCCGACAAGTCAATCGTGAAGATTGGATGCGGTTGTTGAGCGCTGATGAGATTAGCGACGGTCGATGAGAGTGATATGAGACGTACCTGACGAGGTCAAAGTATCGTAGGCCATGCTTCAAGAGTCCGTAGATGTGACTGAAGTACGGGACAGTCTCTTTGACATATGGCGGTTCTCTCGCGTCGGGCGTCTCTCTGGTGGCCAAGGCAACGATGGCTACCACTACGCAGCAGACTACCCCAATGGTGAGGTTGCTCAGAGCCATTGTAATGGATAAGTCCTTCCAGTCTACCTTAGGCCGGAGTGTAGATTTGCTTGAGCGAAGTGGTGGTTTGCGTGGGGATCGCTCAAATACCGGTATCTTGACAACAAAGAAAACTGCAGTTCAAGCCTACGGTCCGTTACAGTGGATGTATCCAGTTGATTCTAATTCCGTTGATCAAATCAAGCATGAAAGAGTAAGCGCTGTCATATCACACTGTCCATCCGTGTCATACGTAAATGGATATCCTCATGCCCCCATCCAAACCCTTGACAAAGTCCCCCTCCTCCAACAGCGACATCCCGAAGATCAAGGGCACAACAATGACAGCTAAGCCTCCTCTGTAGCGGAAGTCGGCTCCGCAACTCATCAAGTTAGCAACACAGACTATGGAGTCGCTGGGCGTGTGCTTATTAGCTTGCGATGAACAAGGATGCGTCGGCTATCTAGCCAAGTCAAGGGTAGGGATTACCGTTGCATCAAAAGATCTAGTTTGGGCCGTTGAGATTTACACGGGTGGCTTTTGCAATTGTCCGATGCACCAGTGGGTTACTTTGGCACTTGCGGCTTATCTCAGAAAGTAGACTCGGTTCTTGTCGAAACTGTTTCCGGTTCAGCGTTAGTTGGATGCTGGGTTGTCTGGTGTTGAGCGTCGTGAAATGGCGCACCGCGATGAAGCCTGTAGAGGTGTTTCATGAGTCCAGTGACAGCTCAGCAATTCTCGTACGAGTATCAGCTATACTGCCATTAGAGCCAACAACAACCTTTCAGTAGGTCTAACTGTCCTTCGGAGTTTGCAGTCCCTTAGCAGGTTCTGTATGCCCTCAGTTCTGTCGGTAACAATGGCTTGTCGACTCTACCTTCACCCGCTGGTCATATCGACAGCCCAGCAATTCTTCTTCATTTACATCGCGGGCTTCACATCTCCCACATCAATTCTTCGCCCAATTGGGTTCATAATCTTTCTCATCTCAACATTCATTGCACTCGCTACGTTTGAAGACTTTGTCGAACCTCCAGGATGGGTCTCCAGAGCCATCATCTCTGCATTTCCGCAAATCTCGCTGACGTATTTTGAGCGCATGATTGTGCGTAAAATTGCATACAGTGAGGATCACGAGAAGAAAGACCAAGAACCCCAATCGAGGATTGCAGAGTTTCGCAAGCGATATGTCTTTGGACAAGAAGTCGCGTCCTCGATGAGAGGATTGGGCACGCCTTGGGAGATCAGAAATATTCACCATTTTGACTCTCGAGACCCGACGTACGTGCCTGCTGCTACACCATTCGTGTGTATAAATCTTCTCATAGTCATTCTCTGCTATTTCGTTCACAAGCTGTGCATCACGACGCAGTTGAGTCTCGATCAGCAGTATATGGCTCCAAACTACATTCCCATCTTTCGCCGTGTTAGCGAAGTTACTCTAGCAGAGCTGCAAGTTCGGTACATCGCAACCGTCACAACAGTCGTGTCAATCTTCTGCTTTATCCAAGGCGGTTACTCTCTCGCCTCTGCAGCATCAGTAACAATACACCCCAAAGCTGCCAAAGATTGGAGACCGATTTTCGGTGAATTGACAGAGTCTTACTGCCTCCGACAGTTCTGGTCGTAAGTTTCCCAGTGTATTTTAGTGGATGAGCGCTCATCTTTCAGCACGTTTTGGCACCAAGGGCTGCAGAATAATCTTCGCGGCACTGCGACGTGGATTGTCAAGAACATCTTCCGTATGAAGTCTTATTCGCTTCCCTCGCGGTATTTGAAGATTCTTCTTGCCTTCGCGCTTTCTGGCTTGGTTCACGTCCCAAGTGACATGGGCAGCGCGGTGTCTGCAAAGGACAGTGGAGCGATCCAGTTCTTTAGCACGCAATTGATCGGGTTGATGCTGGAGGATGTGTTTGGTGACTCGTTTCTTCCTCTCTGGAAGTATAGGTTTACGAGAATATTGGCGAGACTTGCTGGTTATTTTTGGGTTATTTCTTTTCTTGCTTGGTCTGGACCAGTTCGCTGGTTTCCTGTCATTCTGCAGCAGCACCCGGAGACTGAACTCATCAGGCTCGGTGCTTTCAAGCCGATGGCAAAGGTTATGAGCTGTTGGTAGTATCAGAGTAGAAAGTTTTTCAAAAAAATAAGACGAGGTCATGAAATCCTTTCCATGTCGTAAAGCGTTTCCTTAAAGCAAGGGCAGCATCTCCGCGATGAAGCAGCAGCAGCGCGATACGCTTCAATTTCTCATGACATCTAACCACAAAGTATCAAGAAGTGCTCCAAACATAAATATTACTACTTAAGAACGTCCTGGACTTGCCTGTATCATGCCTGACACAATCGCTCGCCCGCGGTCTGCAGGTTTCCCACGACGCAGCTTTTAGGTGCATTCGTGCTGAAACAAGCGATCATCAGTGCTCTCAGTGGCTTTTATGCTCTAAAATTAGCGGTAGCCCACTGTAGTCCGTGTACTTAACACTTCTCGTTTTTACTCCAACCTTCATCTCATTATCATCACGACTTTTCAGACAACATGATATCACTTCTTTACGCCATCGGGGGCCTGTTGTTGGCATACATTGGCCTCAGTACACTGCAGCTTCTCTACAACTACAGGAAAGCCAAAGCTATCGGTCTTCCTGTTCTCATCACGCCAATTGATCCATCCGTAAGTTTAGCTTCTCTCCAAATGTACTGCTGCTAATGCCCTTAGAATGTCCCATATTTGCTTTGCAGCAGTTTCTTGGAGCCTCTGTTAAGAAAGATCCTGCCATTTGAACTTGGAAATTTTGTTGAATACAACAGCCGAGACTGGAACTATGAGCAAATCCACGATCTTCAAGAGCGAATTGGCGACACCTTCATCATTGTCAGTCCCAAGCAGATCCGCGTCTTCACAGGTAATGCGAAGGCCAGTGACAATCTTTGTCGCCGCCGCAGAGATTTTGTGAAAGCCGTGGCTCTCTACAAGCCACTCGAGATCTTTGGCCGCAATGTCGTGACAACTGAAGGAGACGACTGGGTCCGACATCGACGGATCACAACACCGCCCTTCAATGAGAGGAACAGCGCGCTTGTATGGGATGAGTCAAAGAGGCAGGCTACCGAAATGCTCAAGATGTGGGCATCAAACCCGAAAGGCGTCGTGAACCCTCAAAGCGACACCATGGTTCTCGCCCTTCATGTTCTCACTGCCGCTGGGTTCGGCAGAAGCTACACATTCGGCTGCGGTTTGGAGAGTGCATTAGAGAATCACAGTCTCACATATCGCGATTCTCTCAGTCTTATTCTGGGCAATCTCTTCACTGCTGTCTTTACAGCTACACTCAATCTTCCCACATGTATGCTGCCCTCCAAGTTCAAGCAAGTTCAAGACGCTGTCGTCAACTTTCGACAGTACATGGCTGAGATGGTCGCCGAAGAGCGCGAGGCCATGGATGCTGGGGCAGAAGAACAGGATAACCTCATGAGTATTCTTGTACGAGCATCTGAGAACCAGAACAAAGAGGGTAAGGGAACTTGTCATTTGACAGACTCTGAGATTTATGGCAATTTGTTTAGCTATAACCTCGCTGGTCACGAAACAACGTCCAACACTCTTGCTTACGCGACAATCCTCCTCGCAGCGAATCCCGAATGGCAGAAATGGGCAGCGGAAGAGGTTGACCAAGTCACAGCTGGAGTCCGCTTGAAAGACCTTGACTACGAAACATATTATCCTCAATTGAAGCGCGTTCTCGCAATCATGGTACGTCAGACGCCTGGTAATTGATCACTACTAACATCGCCAGCACGAAACACTCCGATTATTCGGCGCAGCAAGGGCAGTCCCCAAAACAACACTCGAAGAACAAACCCTCAAAGTCAGCGGTACATCATACACAATCCCCAAAAACACCCTCATCGGCGTCAACCTAGCAGGCCTACACACATCCTCAGCCTCATGGGGCGACACCGCGCTCCAATGGCTCCCCAGCCGCTGGATCACCGCCGACGAGAAGCTCGCTCCCATGCCTGCAGGCTCTTTCCAACGTCCACGCCTATCTCATCCACGGCACAAGAAACGTCCAACAAGTCTTTCGATGTTCCAAAGAACTCACTTTCGAAGAGTTTGCTCTCCACGTAGCTCAGAAAGTCAAACGTCTTCCTGCAAAAGATGCTACGTTAGTAGCTAAGGATATATCAGGATCGTCACGGCTGCCGTTAACCGAGACTCGTGAGGAAGATCGAATATGGAGAAAGTTCCATGAGATCTATGAGTCCCACCTCATTGGCGCCAATGCGGTATCGGCTCTTACAGAGCTTTTCATTGATACCATGATTGATGAGCTCAGTACCGTTTGTACTCAGGGATCTATTGAGATTGGCATTGATGAGTTTATGAAGCATCATATGTTTCGAGCTTCTACCATCGCTCTCGCTGGTCGGAAAGTATTCGACATTGATCCCAATTTTGCAGATGTGTTTTGGCATTATGATGAAGATTTCATGTCTTTACTCTACGGTATCCCCAAGTTTCTCTGTCGGAAGGGGTCCAACGCTAGAGACAAGTGTTTGGAGACTGTCAAAGGCTATCTCGATCAAGGTTGGCAAAACCTCGATTGGAGAGCTTGTCACAAACAAAACCCTGACTGGGAACCAAACTTTGGATCCAAGCTTGTTCGTGAAAGAGAAGTTGCCATGGAGAAATATGGCATTGGCCTTGATGGGAGAGCTTCTTTTCAGATGGGTCTCATCTGGAGTATCAACTCAAATGCTATTCCGATGACGTCTTGGATCATCATTGAGATTCTGCGTCGACCAGAGATTTTCAAAAGGATACAAGAAGAAATCTCTACAGTGTTTGAAAAGAACACCAAGCATGTTGATATTGTGGTACTCAAGAAGCTGCCACTACTCAACTCAGTATACTTTGAGTGTCTTCGTCTAAGATCATCCGTGTTTGTAGTCCGCAAACTACGACACTCGATCGAACTAGACGGCTACACACTCAAAGAGGGCAATCTCGTCCTCGCACCATCATACCTTGCCCACAACGCCCCAGAAGTATGGTCATCAGCCTCACACCCCCCAGAGGAATTCTGGCCAGAGCGCTTCATCAAGAAGGGCAACTCTGGAATCTCAGCAGGCAATTATTTCCCCTACGGAGGCGGCGCAGCGATGTGCCCGGGGCGGAATTACGCCAAGCAGGAGATTCTGTCAGCGGTTGTTTTGTTCTTTGCACACTTTGAGATCGAGCCCTTAAGGTTTGTAGATCGGAATGGGAAGACGTCGGATAGAGGACCTGAAGTTGGGAATGAAGCGAGGGGTGTTGCAAGGGTTGATAGAGATTTACTTGTCAGATTACGGCGCGTTTAGGATACCATGAGGCAATTGATAGGGTCTCTTTTTGACGATGAAAAACTTTATTGTCTATTTTACCGTGCATGATCACTGAAAATACGAATGTGATGTCTCATCTATTGTATGAACTGTTTGATGACAGAGAAAGAGACCAATTGGTCTCCAGGCTTTACGACTCTCGCGGCAGGATATGCCCATGATGGAGTTATCAAGTACATGTAAAACATAACCCAAAGGTAACCAAGCCACCATGACCAGGTTCCCAGTACACCTCGAAACACATGCTGAACTCCATCCTCACACGTAATCACCAGCGCTGTTGTAACAAAATAGCTGATAACGTTAGTCTCCTTCGCCGATATCCCAAGCGCCCTATCAGCGGGGAAATGCAAAGCCCCAGAAATAAAGAAGCACACGATAAGCTTGCAGTAACGAGAAACAAGACCGCTTGGCAAGTGAAGAATCCCATGGACAAGGAAGCTTGAAAGGGAGGTGAGGTGACGTCGTAGCGTCTGATGCCAGAAATTACCCCAGAAGCGCCTAAAGCTGTAAGCATCGGAGAGACTACCCCAGATTGGGGGTAGCATTTCGACCGGGTACAGGTTTAGGCTGAGGTAAAAAAGCGAAAAAGCACTGTTGATGTTTCGGCTAGGGCTGATGGTGAGATACGTACTCGTTAGGGTAGCGAGCTTTTTTCCTGGCTTTACTATTGTTGTGAAGGCATTCTCAGCATCAATCGTCATGGCGGTTTACCTGTTTGTGGCCGTCTTTCTGGCGGTTGTTTATCTGGTTCAGCGTAGGAGTTCTCCAAAGTTAGCCTCGAGTCTTCCAAGACTTGAGCGTCATTCATATCTGCCTTTCAAATTACAGTGGGCGTATCTGACGGACTGTCGGCAGCTTTTCCTTGAAGCATATCAAACAGTATGCCTCCCCACAGAAATGACGAGCGAAACTAACGAACCAGTTCACCAAACATGGCAAGGCCTGCGTGTTGCCCAGTATGGGCTTCAAAGATGAAATCCATCTAGCACATCATCATACACAATGGGCCGCTTCACAACCAGACGCTGTCCTTAGCCCAATTGAAGGATTCAGAGGGATCGACAAGGGAGATTGGAACTCTGGACATGCAAGTTATATCCAAGGTCCATGGCAGAGTATCGTCATCAAGAAGGACATGGGCCGTTTTCTTGAGATACTAGCTACTGCCGTTGATGATGAGCTTCAGTATGCTATTCCTGAGTATATCAAGCCTAAGGATGGTGATGAGGTTGATGTTTACGAGGCTATGAAGTGGATTGTAGCTCAAGTCTCGAGTCGGTTCACTGTTGGCCTTCCTCTCTGTGAGTCTTAGTTCCTTTGTTTGATGTTAGCCAATTTTCAAGGTCGCGATAAGGAGTATTTGAAAGACTCACTCGCTTTTGCAGATCTGTTCATATTGAATTCTGGGCTGTTGATCTACACTCCATTACTTCTGAAGCCGCTGATTGGGTTCCTCGTCACATTGCCAACACGGTACAGACGATGGAAGATTCAAAAGCATATCCAACCACTTTATGAGGAGAGAACTAAGAAGCTACTGAATCCTGGGCTCTATGAGAAGGGTGAAGAACCGATAGACAATCTGCAGATGATGATGCGATATGCTATCAGCAAGCATGGTAACCAAGTTACGCCATCTCAGATCTCTGATCGGCTTTGTCTTGCAAGTCTTGCCTCGTTCCACCAGACTGCGGTTGCTATCAGCAATGTTTTGCTCAATATCGCAGCGTCAGATGCCGAGTTCAATACCGTTGCAGTTATCCAAAAGGAGATGGCTGATGTACTTGCAGACAGCGGCGGCGTCTTTGACAAAGCATCGGTTTCTTAAATGATACAGAAAGATAGTGTTCTCAGAGAATCGATGACAACACATGGCTTTGGAAACAGAGCCATGATTCGCAAGGTTGTTGCGCCTGATGGTCTCAAAACTCCAGACGGCCATGCTCTTCCCAATGGCTCAACCATGTCAATCCTCTCGTATCCGGTTCATCGAGACCCTGATATATACGAAGACCCTGAGAAGTTCTACCCTTTTAGATTCTCCAATATGAGGACAAGTCCCGATGGCAAAGACACTAACCCAACTCTGTCGTTTGTATCGACTTCTCAAACATATCTTCCTTTTGGACATGGAAAACACGCTTGCCTGGGACGATTTCTTGTTGATTTCGAGATGGAGATGATTTTGTATCATGTTTTGAACCGTTTTGATATTGAGCTGCTTCCTGAGCATAATGGAGTTCGACCGGAGAGTCGGTGGGTGACAGAAGCTGTTATGCCGCCTGTTGGTGTTAAGCTGCCATTTAAGAACAGAGAACTCGCATAGCGTAGCATAGAACGTGATTTAGATTATCAGGATGTCAATTTGATCTCAGCCGTTCGTGCAGCGTCCACTGAAAATGCGCTGTAAACCGCCCGCAAGCCAATCACGTAGTGGCAGTGCACGAAACAAGGCCCCTGCCTACCCCTGCACAAAGCTCGAGTGGGTAAGCCTGCACATAAAATACCCAACTCCGTGAAATTTCCTCCTCATCCACATCATCCTCACCATGGACCGAATTGCTGTTTTACTGTCTTATTACCGGCCCTGGGCCATTTGTGCGCTTGCTTTTTCACTATACGCTCAAATACTTCACCATAAGAATTATTCTATTCGTCATGCCCCGTTTTATATGGGAAAGTATTTGCTGGCGTTCTTGAGCGTTTGGGCATTCTCCTTGGTGTTTCTGTATCATCGGTTCTTTAGTCCTTTGAGGCACCTCCCACAGCCAAAGGTATGTAGAAGAAGATGCGTCTGAGAATGTGGCTGACAGTGATAGGGTGCGAGCTTTATCAATGGACATTGGGCCGAGTCTGTCAACCAGCCCGCTGGATTGCCGTTCAGACATTGGTCAAAGACAATTGAAAACAATGGGTTGATCAGATACAAGTGAGTGTCCATCACTTATGTGAGAGTTTTACTGACCAGGCAGGCATCTGTTCAACCAGGAAAGACTCGTCGTCACAAGCCCGGAAGGTCTCAAAGAGGTGCTTGGTCAGAACAGCTATGACTACGTCAAGCCTCATCTCCTCCGCGCAATGGTCGGCAAGATCTTGGGTTATGGGCTGCTCCTATCAGCAGGAGATGTTCACAAGGTATGTTCATCCGCCCAGTATGAGAATAAAACTGACACCCTCAGTTGCAAAGAAAGAATTTGATGCCGGCATTCAGCTTCCGTCACATCAAAGAACTATATCCCGTCTTCTGGAGCAATGCACAAGAACTAGTCCACGGGATCGAAAAGGAACTCAAAGAAGAGTCAACCTCAGAGATTGATATTGTCGACTGGGCGAGTCGAGCCTCTATGGATATCATCGGTTCTGCAGGAATGGGCCACGAGTTCAGGTCTCTTGCAGATCCAAGCATTGAGGACACTATGAAGATGTATGGGTCAATGGTCAAGCAGAGCCGTGGTGCTAAGCTCTTGACGGTCCTTCAGCTGGTGCTACCCTCCATTATCACGGATTACCTCCCATTTCAGAGAAACATGGGCGTTTTGCCAGCCTCTAAAGCGGCGAGGGAGACATCCCAGCGACTCATCAACGCGAAGAAGGTTCAGATGGCTGCCAAGGAGAAACTATCGCCTGATATAATATCTACGGCACTTGAGTCTGGTCATTTCACCGACGAAGGACTCGTTGATACGATGATGACTTTCTTAGCTGCTGGGCACGAGACCAGTGCGGCAGCGCTAACCTGGACAATCTTCCTTCTAGCAAAGAATCATGATATCCAGGACCGCCTTCGAGAGGAGATTCGACAGAATGTTGACGGTCTTACAGACGACGTTGACGCCAAAAGGCTCGATAGCCTCTCCTATCTCCATGCAGTCTGCCAAGAATCACTCAGGCTCTACGCACCAATCCCCTTCACCGTCCGCGATGCCCTCAAAGACACTCAAATCCTCGGAACATTCATCCCCAAAGGAACTATGGTCGTACTCTGTCTCTGGGCCATCAACAGAGCCCACGAACTCTGGGGTCCAGATGCAGACGACTTTAACCCTGAGCGATGGATGGCCCCTGGACAAGCCAACTCAGGCGGTTCAAAGAGTAACTACGCATTCCTGACATTTCTACACGGACCTCGAGGCTGCGTCGGTCAGAAGTTCTCACTGGCTGAGCTCATGGCCCTCACATGCGTATTGGTAGGGAGATACAGGTTTGACATTGACAAGGACTACGAGGTACGGGATATCACGGATGGGATTGTGGCGAAGCCAAGTAAGGGATTGAAAGTCTCTGTGGGGAAAGTTCAGGGTTGGTGAGCATAGATCGTGTAGCAAAGTATAATTGTCATATTCACCCTCATGCATGACGAGAAATGTCTCATAAGCCGGTGTTTGTTGGTGACCAGCATACAGCCAATAAAGGGGTCAGCGACATGTCACAAAGCTAATCTGTGCCACTTTTTACGTGGTCATAGCAAGGGTGCCGTCCCCATACTTATTCCCACACCGTAAGATCTAACATCGCACCCTATCCCTGTCAGCTCTGATAACAAGCTCCATGCTTGTAATCTGAGCGGGTAAAACACGACTCGGTGTTGGGTCAGCGAATGACTCGAAAATAGCAGAAACTCTGAGGGACTTGTTGGTCCTGGGGATTGTTGCAGATCCGGCGCCCTTCATTTTGGGGTTCAAGTTTTCGCTCGAGGTTTTCGCTCTTCTTCGAGCGTCAGCTTTCTCGTACTCTTCACTCTTCATCCAAGCCATCATGTCAATAGCAGACGGTTCCTACGCCCGAGGCGATCTTCTCAACGGCTGTAAAGACATTATCCCAGGCCTTCAGAATGCCTACGGCTACGTTCCCAGCCTAGCAGCTGGAATCGTCTTTTGTCTCATCTTTGCAGCTACGGGGATCTATCACATCGTTCGATCGTTCCAGAAGCGAAAAGCCACTTCGTACCTCCTAGCCATCTCTTCGTACATCGAACTCATTGGCTGGATTGGTCGAACGTGGTCGTCGAAGTGCGCTTATAACAAGATTGCTTTCCTTCTTCAGATCACTACCCTCGTCGTCGCACCCATCTTTGTGGCTGCTGCCATTTACGTCACGCTGGGATATCTGATCAAGGCGGTCGGACCTCAATACTCTGTCATCAGACCTAAGCTTTACCTCTGAATCTTTCTCGTCGTTGATGTCTTGGCTCTTCTGATTCAGGCTGGCGGTGGTGGTCTTGCTTCGGGGGCAGCGAACAAAGGCAAAGACACCAAGCCAGGCGCCAAGCTGATGGTATCTGGTATCATCTTCCAACTCGTCAGCATGACTGACTTTTGCACTCTCTTTGCAATCTTTGTCTTGAGAACACGGGGTCGTGAACTCACCAAGGGTCAACGTTTTGTTATTTACGCCACAATCACATCCGTGGTGTTTGTGTACATCCGATGCATCTACCGAACGGTCGAACTTCTTGAAGGTTGGGATGGGAAGTTGATGAAGACTGAGGGATACTTTATTGGTCTTGATGGTGTTTGTATCGCAGTTGCTATTCTGGTCTTTTGTATCTTTGATCCAGCTGTGCTGCTCGATCATGACAAGCAGCCCGAGCTTTCTTTCAACGAGCTCAACATTGGTTCTGCGAAATGATGCATTCATGGAGCTGGGGCTATTGATTGGTATTGTTGCATGAGGAACTACTAGGTAAAAGCACTTTACACCTTGTTGCTGAAACTTTAGTTCATAATAAACGCATCTTGTTCATCGCCCGATTTGAATTGCCCAGCCACTCTATAAATTAAGGCAGTTTGCCTCGATATGTGGACGAAGGCTTATCGCTTATCGCCGTTCAGTCCCTTCCTTCGGCGTGAGCAAACATCCTCAAGCTTTTTCTTTCCTCATCCTTTTCTCGGTTCATCCACGTTCGGGAAGGAATTGTCCTGGCCAGTGTTACCATACCAAACACTTCCATTGCCAGGGACCTCCTTTGGCTTCTCTTCTTCTTCTTCATCATCATCACCATTGCTTCGGAATACACACCAAAATCATTACATCTTCTTGACGCCCCCATGGAGTTGTGGAGCCAACCCCGATATCCTCATGCTGAGAATCCCCCGAATTTCTTAGAATGCCCGTTTCACAAATACGATAGCAATCGCTTTTACGCATGTGCCAACCTGCCTTTGAAAACAATGCCAGATTTGTATCATCATCTCGAATCTTGCCACCAAGTCTACTTCCGCAATTCCCCTATAACTTGCTCGAAGTGCCGCGAGGACCTCTCGACAGACAAGAATGGTGCCCCGCATCATCAGTCGCAATGCGTCCGTACTACCGCGGGAGAATCAGGCATTATGCTCGTGTCAGAGCTGAAACGATGCCGGCAGAACAATGTCGGTAAACATGCCGAGAAAGCATGGTATGAGCTTTAGGACTTCATATACCCGCGCACAGAAAGGCCAAGGACACGCTTCGTGGAGATCGCGGTTCCTTACCTTACAGCAAAGGCTCGAATCGCATCACTGGGTACTGACACTCAGAATCGTGTACTTGACACCATATACAGGGTTCACTACTCCACCAAGAATGATGGCGACAGACCTCCAACCTCACAACTGAACATCGCAGGGCCCGCACCAACAGTGCCTTACGGTACACAGTTCGTTTCTAACTTGTATCAAGATGGAGTACAAGTTGCACAGTACCAGCCAGTGCCAAGAGTATTTCTCCATCAACAGTTCTTTGACAGCAAATATGTTGCTAAACTACCTTAGGTACGAAACGCGAATTCCCAGCAACTACCACGACAGGACTCCAACCTACAGGCCACTCAAAATGAAGCTCGATCTGGAAAGAAGCGCAAGAAATCTCAGCAGGCTTTACCACAGGCTACTCATTCGCAACTCAATGGGAATGGAACTCTTGCTCATCATCAGGAACAAGTGAATCAGTATGCACCACAACCACAGGCCTCCCATCTGCAGCTTGCACAGACGAGTCAGTAAGTAGTCCCGCCAGCAAAGTTATTTTCACATCCCTGACCTGCATAGCCAAAGCCAAAATTGGGAACAACCGCAACAATCTCGCGCCGAGCCAGTCTCTAATTATTGGACCCAAAGTTTATCTTTTGAGCAGCCACCATTCGTTTCTAGTCATCAACCGTTCTACGGCTCGTCTGGACCTAGCATGACACCTGGGGACATTTCTAGCATGCAGGGAAGCTCGATAAACCAACATAGTCTCGATGTTCCGGATCCTCAATCTCAAGGATATTCGACGAGTAATGAATTCAACATCTCCTCCAATTCGCTTCAGTCCAATATGATACCAGCGGAGATTCCAAGCGAAGTGACAGGATCTATGGCACCACAGCACATCGGTGTTTCTCAGCCGCAACATCTGGACGAAGCGCTAGTCCACTTCCAGTCTATCAATTGGGACGATTTGCTGAAGGACTACCTGAACCCCTGAGAGTTTATGCCCCCTTAAAACCACTATTTAGCCTACAATTCAGGGTCTCTTGCTAGGAACACAAGGGATCCATCCCCTTGATATGGTTGACCGAGAAGGTCTCTTCAATGGTATTGATGTGAGGTATCTTGATGATGAGAAAGAAACGGTATTGGTCTGACGGATTAGCCTACTCGAGGCTGAAAAGTATTGAGTGGAATAAAGCTAGAACTCAGTGGTTTCTTAACATACGATCAGCGTCCAGCGTTATGACAATACCAAGCAGTGTCCTCACTTGAAAGTACACGATTGCACACTATTGACTAGCATGAGAAAGACTATGAGACCATTCTTAACGACTCGGCAATTTGAAGTAGGCGATAAGCAAGTTGTGTTTATTGTGAACTAGAATTTCCAGCGACAGGATGCAATGTACTTCTAGCTGGCCTGGATCATCCTTCAACTATCAGCTCACAGTGTTTCAGCATCTAAATTCTCGCCTATCGTTACCCTTCATAAACTCCTTCCCTGCTCCTCTCAATAATGATCTCTAGGCTTATTGGGAAAGGTGGACATGCATCGCAACAAGTCCCTAGCGTCCTTCACATTCGGCGGGTAAGCTTTTCTATTCTCGAAGCCAACATCATCAAGACTGAGCTCGTCAAGAGCACGTGTAAAATGAGGCTTCATTTCTTTTGTCACCAGGTGGTCGTAGGGTGCTACATCATGGCAATCATGCAGAAGCTCCGTCCAGTCTGCCAGCTTCTCCTCTTCTTCATACGATACCCGCTCGTCAATGAACTCACGGAACAATGGTGAGCGAATCCCATTTGTGATCTCTCCGTATATCTCTGGGGTGAGTTCTGGCTCAAGACGTAGGAAATCATCGGGTTCGTTACAAACAACCATTGCTTGGGCGATTAGTTGTTTTAGTTGAGGCATGAGCCGGAATAGCTCCATATAGGTTGTTGGATCTGCCTGTTGGGGATACCAGATGATGCGTGGCACGTCGTCTTTCGAGATTGGCCGATTGTGCTTGAACCATGTGAGGTCGTCATTCATGATGAATCGTGCATGGACAAACTTTCGGAGCACATAGAGATGTGGCTGCTCGTAGCACCACCTGGCAAAGAAGGTGTTGTGATAGATACCACGCACTATGCACTGCATCTCGCCATTGACGGTGCGAGGTCTTCGTAGTCGGCCGTAGCGGTCGATGTTTCCGGTAAAGTCAGCCATGAGAATGAGTATGTCTTTGTCAACCGTGGGTAAATGTCGTGGCAATGGGGTATAGAGGAGGCTCAGAGTGTCGCTCGGGATAGACCGCTCTTCTATGCGCTTTCCACCCGCTCCAAGACACCAGTCCTCGGTGATATCAAACGGCGGAGGGAAGATCTCATAGTGGAGTGGCTGTCTCTTTTCCAGTGTAGACCGGACGCAGGTGTCCCCATTGAGACAGGCTCCGCCTTGGGGCTTATCGAACAAACAGAGATTGTAATCGTCCATGACCCGGTAGAGGATGGGCGCATTCATGACCAGTTCATAGATATCCTTCGAGACAGGTAAATTGTCCCGGGCCTCTTCCGCAATGGAGATATCAGGGAGAATATCGAGCTCTTTGTAGAGTTCCAAATAACCTCCAACCGCGCAAGCACGGCCAAGTTGGTAGCGCATCAAAACTGTAGGATAGTCCTTCAAGAGTTGCCGCAGAATGTCTTGACTGGGAACATCAGGGTACCAGAAGCAATAGGGGATGTCGTCTGGCTTCTCCATCACAGGCACTCGGCCACTCATTATATCCCTAGCGTTGAAAGCTCTCTCCATGGAATGATGTCCCGATATGCCCCTGACTTCGCGAGCGAAGCCATCATGATGTCGAATTCCGGCTACGAGACATTTGTATGCGAGCTCATGGGGGAAATCTTCAGGAACCAATTCTCCACGTATGGCAGCTCGCAGCACGTCAAGTTTCAGTGGGCGGATGTCGTCCCGCAGGCTTTCGAGCTCCTCGATCAGCATGATGGTGAAATATGGAGAAGGAAAGTATTTAAAGGAACAAGAATGAGAAACAGGTGTCGCTTTATTGAACTTATAGGCACCGAACAAGCGGTGTAATATGGCAGAATCACACTTCGCTCAGTGACTCAAGATTCCGTCTTGTCATTCTTTCGAAGATCAGGCGCAATTTGCCATGAGCGCAGGTTATCTGCCCCTACATACTCTAAACACTTACAACCACGGCTACTTAGAGTCTGGCTATTCTACCTTAACAGCTGTATCTTAGCAATAGATCATGACTCGCTCTTCTTCAAAAGGCCCTGCACCATTTCGTCCTTGCGCCGTAACTTTGAAGAAAATGCCTCAATACACGACTTGCTGAGGAGCTCGGCAAGCTCTTCAGTCTTGGAAATCGCCTCACCGACGATGGACTTCGGGTTGAGAACGTCGATCTCGCCATTGTCTTGGATTCGACGGGGTTAGTTCTTGTGCATGGCGAAACCTGCGTGAGTCTCGCAAGGCCAGATTGGACCAGTAGTAAACCTATTAGGCTGCTTCTCATTAACGTCGCGGGCGCGAGGACCCCTGGGGTAGATGAAAATGTCGTGGTCTTCATAGTCCTTCCACTCAACACAATCCTTCTCGATTCCATGATTTGCCAGAAGTGCCTCGTAGAACCCCTTGTCGTCACGCATCTTGTAGGCGATAAAGCGCCCGTTGGCAGCTTTGGGAGTGTCAACGGGGACACGCAGTTCAACCTTAGTGTAATGACCAGAATCTTTGCTGTTCGGTGCATTCCACTCACAGTCCGTCTACTTGTTGCGTTTGCTAGACTTTAATTGCCACAAGAAAGGGACACGAGGATGCCGAATGTAGCAGGAGAGATTAGCAAGGGATTGTAGCCAGAGACTATCTGGAACCTCTCCGGGGCATATTGAGATCGCCATCAGGCCTTACATCCGGAGTTTCCCATCCCAAAGGAGTAGCTACTTCTAGCTAGACCGAGCATGACATTTCAAACTTTCACTCAGAAGTCTGGAGCTATTGCCGTCTAATTCTGGGTCACTAACTGTAGGTCTTAGTCCCTATGGCGATAAATTCAATGTTGAGGTGCATTCTGAGTTTCGCCCCCAACATAAATGGTCGTGTTATATTCGTAGATTAGTGAGATGAATACATGTTGATAACATAGTGGACAGGGGGCAGAGGTCATAGTAAGAGAAGAGGACTACCAGCATAATAAGCTCTAACCTTCCTCTTACCCTCAGACAAATATTGAGAGTTGTACTTATCAGTCTTGTTGGATTGTTTCGCTAGGTATTCAATTGATCATACGTAACAGCCACCCAAATTACAGTGAAGGTTTGCCCAGCGTCATGGAGGCGGTGCTGAAAGAGGCTCTGGAGTCTGGAGACTGTATTTGCACAAGTTCAGCCAATGAATGGGGTTTCCCGGCATGGGGCGTACCTACGACCGATGAGCTGGACGGTATCAAGCGGGCAAAGCCATCTGTTCGTGGCTTATTGGTTGGACGCCACCAGTCGCACATTGATACAATTGGCGAGGCAGAAAAGCTGGCAGAATCGCTTCATTTGTATTGGATTATCTTTTCGCCCGTTTTCTCATGTCACCGCTTGATATCCTCTAGCTTTGTTCTGGGGCCCATTATCAATATGAGCAAAAATGGTAACCCTCCCGAGCCTGCTTCCACGTAAAGCCAGAGTCACTTCCAGTAGAACCCTGGTAAACGCAAATGCATGCATGCTACCCCTCACCATGTTCTGTCAATAGTTGTCACTCGATTCTAAGTACTTTATAAATAAAAAGGCTCTGCTCTTACTTGTTCTTAATTGCCTCGCAATCTTGATCTCACATCCAAACCTCAATTCACACAATGACTAGCTCCCAACAGCAAATATCGCCATCTCCGGCACAATTCAACAACAAATTCTGTTATTCCCCTCTCTTATACAATGAAGAAATAAGGTTACTTGAGGTTACCAGCCCCGCTTTAATGCACTCTCAACCAATTTGTCGGCTTCACACAGTACCTATCCATAAGGCTCCACGATACAAAGCTCTGTCGTATTGCTGGGGTTCCAACCAGCACAATGGTTCAATCTTGTTGAATGGCACAGAGTTCACGGTAACCGAAAATCTACTGGAAGCTTTAAAAATCCTCCAACGGGAACCAGGCTTTTACTGGATTGATGCAATCTGTATCAACCAAGCTGATCTTCAAGAAAGAGGCTTGCAGGTTACTCGTATGAAGGCTATATTTAGCACAGCTGAGCAGGTTATAGTCTGGCTAAGCGGAAACGTCGAACCGGCATTCCTTTATCCAACGACAGCTGAGATCACTCAGCGAGATGAGGGACGCTCCAGCTTCTTTGGTAATGCATATTGGCGAAGAGTCTGGGTTGTACAGGAGTTCGCTGTCTCCACGAGCGTCATCATTCTGTATCAGAATGTTCGCATAACCTGGAGCGAGTTAGTTGGTTTTATGGGATCACCTTCAGTGGTGGGAAGAAATGATTGCACTGCGTCACAAGACTGGGAAGGGGTCGAATGCATCACAAGACTTATCAGTCTACGTCAAAGTTTCATACGGTGTTCCCCTATCTATCTGCTGGATCTACTATGGCGTAGCCGATCACTACTAGCTACTGATAAGCTCGATAAGGTATATGGGCTTCTTGGGCTGGCTCATGATGGCGACAGGTTTGTTCGATATCCCCAGTATGGTATTTCCCCAAGGACTTTATACAAGCGAATGGCCACATCACTCTTGGAGAAGACAGGGAACTTAAACATCCTTTTCCTCCAGCACGATCTTCGGGACTGGTATGTCCCATCTTGGGTTCCACAGTGGCTTGATCTTCAGGACATACGATCGCGGGATTGGATTGACTATATGATTCGAAGAAGCACATCAACAGACGTGGACTCTCTAATCTGCGACTCACCTCGTGTCGAAGACGGTGTTCTCAGCGTGCGAGGCAAGGTGTTAGACATTCTTGCAAATGTCACGACACCTTGCTACCCTGGTAGTCCTTTAGGAGCGCCTCTCCACGCTCCAACCACACACGAGTCAAGACCTACCCCCTACGGCTGTGACGACAATATTTATTTTGCGATTGCCAAGTCACTATGCTTTGGGCTGAAACTATCTGGAAGCAGTCTGACAGACAATATCATCGACCAAAGAATGCATATCTCCAAATCGCTAAGAGTTCGGCTCGGTTCTTGGATAGCTAATAATGAAGGCTTTCAAGTCGGGGGAAGGGGGCTAACCTACTGGACCAGAGAGACGTGGGGAGACATACTAAGAACAAATTTACATTGGATTCGGGACCATCGATTCGCTGAACACCAATCTATATTTGTCATCATTGGAGGCGAACATATACCTATCGAAAGACTCTTTAATGGGCCTATGGAAGAGATTTCCCGCTTAACAGCTCCCAGATCCGATGTATTGCGGTTCCAAAAGGAGATAGATGATGGTATATATACTTTCTCGGCTGCTCAAATGCGCTTGACTATCACAGAACAAGGGCTTATAGGTGTTGTGACGAGAGAGGCCTCTCGGGGCGACATACTTGTTAGGCTCGAAGGATGCGAACGTCTGATTGTACTTAGAAAGGATCGAAGAAACGACCACTGGGTGGTGGTTGGAGAAGGTTGGCCGTGTACAGAACACACAAGATTCTGTGAGGATGACTCTGAGTACCGTTGGCTTGACATATCCTAAGAAGGGACAAGTACTATTACTGTCATTTCTCTTATTATATGCCTATGTCCCTGGAAGCTGTGCTACCTTATGTAGACTTACATTGCATTTTACAGAATAACAACATCAAAGGACTGGGATAGTAATAGCGTTTTTCTTAGTCAAGCTGAGTTATATGTCAATATTTCCAAGGGCGGTTTGCTCTTTTATAAATACCAACGGAGTATTCATCTACCATAAACCTATCTCCTCCATCGGCTCTGAAGGCGTTATTTCCGCTATCCTACCCTCTCTTTACAACTCTGTTTCCTCTATGGGTCTGATATGGCTTGTTGAGAGCATGATCTCAGCTGTTTGTGCAGCGTAAGTGGATAAAATCGTTTACCGGGGTGGCAAAATATCGAGACATCCTTGTAATAGCCACAACCACAGAGTCTAGGCCATATGACTAGTAACCTGTTTTCAAGAGAACCAGGTTTCAGATCTGCCATCACTTCATCTTTCATATAATCCAGCAGAGTAAGAGTGTATATGCCACTTTCAGAGCAAAACATAGATCGATCCACTTTATTCAATTCCTTTCAATGGTAGCCTCCATCTGATAGTGTGTCAAGGCACAACTAATCTGTTCGTTGTTGCAAGGTAGTAGCAGAGCTAGGTGTCGGAATATCGATGAACACAGCTTTTCTATGTCCAAAATGATGCTAGCTAATATCCTTATTCCTCCAAGAAGTTCAGAGAGTAATCCTCAGACAGCCCAATCCAATCTTCATAGATGTCTGTTCCAGCTGTCTGTGATAAAGGACCTTGCTGGAAGATATCATACGGATTATCAGCAGTATCAAATGCTGTCATACAGATCAATGGCTCTGTATGTCCGGTAAAGCTAGTAGTCGCGTACTCAGAGTCAGTCTCCTCTGGCCCGAACGCTTCCACATCTGACTGGAGATCCGAATGGTTTCCAGCGAAGGACATTGATTTCAGAAAATCACTGGGTAGAAAAGCCGAGTTTGACATGGAATCAAAGTCTGGGGCATAAAACCTGGGGTTGGGGCAATGGCCTAGAGTCGTGGATCCCTCGTCAGAGTCGCCTCTTGCTCTTATGTTGGTTTCTGTCATAGCCCCTTTGAAATTAGGAAGCTGCTCATCCGATTCTTGCTTCAGTGGCTTGTTTTCAAATCGATCCTCAACCTTATCCAGTAGCTCCGGTAGTAAATCGAACAGTTGTCCTGGGGTAGCTGGTAAGCCTCGTTCTTGGACAGACTTTGACACAATTTGGCTGCCGTCTTGACTCCATATATCGCGAATTATTCCCGTCATCTCTTTAGCAATGCCATCCAAGAACGGCTTCGGTTTAGTATCCAATGCCCCAAAAATAAGCACATAAATATCCTCCCACTGAGCCGCTGACGATATGCGTCTGTCGGAACGAAGCTTGAGAGCCTCCAGAATATGAGGGGGTATAGTATCAGAGCTATCTATTACACTGCGGGAACAACTTCCTTTCTGCAGATGATCATCAAACAACTTTGGAGAGGGAAACCCCTGTTTGCAGACAGAGCAATAAAGGTTTGCTGCATGTCGTCTCTTTAGGTGTTGTTTGACGATTGATATAGAGACCATTCTGAGATTTATGCACTCAAGAAAGCGAACTGGATCCTTTCTGTAAAACGGACACGCGAATGTCTCTTCTTTCTTTTTCTCAGCCTCACCGCTTCCAGAGTAATAATCTCGATCACGGTCTGATTCCTCAACATCGTTGTGGCTTTTGGTCTTTCGACTTTTTTTCTGGGGTGCACTATTGCCTTCGGCTGGTCTTTTCATCAAGTTGATGGTATCTTGATTTGCTTGGAGCTCTGAGACTGGGGCTTCGAGTTTCACTTCCGTCTTCATGCGCTGAGCTGAGCCGCCCATCACAGGGTCCAGTTGAGGGCTCGTTGGAAGTCTAGAGATAGTGCCCTCGTTTCTGTTGTGCTCTGGTGAAAGGTCTAATATTGGATGGCCCATGTTTGGTGAGAAGGACAGGCTATCTGGCAACGATGCTCGACGAGAGTTACCCTGGTCAGAACATGTGCGGTTGATTTCCTGGCTCAAGTAATTGTCTCCTGGTTCATTTGGGATACCCGTGTGATTCACTTTGCCTTGTCAATATCAGTTTGATGTGATTCTCTTACGACTTTGAGTTTCACTTACATGGAGCCAGAGGTCTTAGCCTCGTATTATTGTTCGGTCGGTGCTTGAGTGGCCGTATGCTAAGAATCGAATGGCCTTGCTTGCCAGCATTTCGTTTTGAAGGCCTTACATTCATCGGTCTGCTCTTCCCTGTGTCTTTTGAAAGACTATCCCCAAGATCTACGCACTCCTGGTTATAGACAATGCTCTTATCCACATTGATGCGTTCATTTCCTTGCGAGCCATGGGCACTGCACTCTTGACGGTCGGTATCGTATGGAACTAGCATATTCCTTATCTTATATTCTTTTTGCTCCTTAGCCAGCTAGATCGAACAGCGCTCAATGACGAAACCTGTGCAGATTCTATAAGTCCATATATCTCTTGTAGTAATAGGTTTTGAGGAAATACAGCCGAGGTTGATTCCAAATTGGTTCGATGAACGTAGACGGAGAAAATAGTGAAATGTTGCCCAACGACGATGGGTTGGTGCAAAACGAAAAACATCGCAGGGCAGCAGGGAGCGATGCGCCAACTATACCCTCTGAACTACAGTGGGGTCCATCAGCTTAGGCATACGTCAGATAGGGCACATTGTAATCACTGCGCCCGGTACATCGAGGTACCTACACATTGCACAAATGGCGCTCAAATTCAGCATGTTTCATTTTAACCTAGTACCGCTATATCCATGTGGTTATACGATCCTTTCGTGCCGACATGCATATGCACAGATACCCGCACTATTTAAGACATCCCACTTGTCAAGCCTCACAATCTTGCTTTGAGGTCTGCTGATTTGGCCAAGTCAGTTTTTCCAGGTGCTGGCGATAGTGGATCTCGTTGGCTGCAGCCCCCTGTAAGTAGCCGTCGCTGAATGTCAAGGCCAGAGTCTGACAACCAATCTTGGATGCGGCCGTCACATTCTCGGTGAGAGCCTGATTGACTCGATCCTCTTCATGTACATTAGTTACTCAGCTTTCTGGGAACAGGTAGGGAAACTTGTTCACCTTGTTGAGGACTGTGTGTAGGCTGGCATGATGGAGTAGTCTATTTGACGACCATTGAGTTTCGACTACCAGAACACGAACTCGAATTATATAGCATAGCTAACGCTTTATTTCCACGAATGTGCTCTTCATCTTCACAATGGTGACGGGTTATGTGAACTGTCCACCATCGTGGGCCCTCAATTGATTGAGCGTCCCTCTAACAAACTACAACCCCCTCGAGTCTTTGAACTCGTGACGAATCTGTACCTGCGTTGACACGACCATTCACAAGAAAAACGCCAGGGCGAACTCTGCGAACCGAGGGGGTGTCTAATGCATGCGCCTCAAAGCTAGGACCAATCACTATCTCCAATCCCCTGGGTGATAAGCCTCCACGATTGTGGAGGGTTGAATCACCTTGCATCACAAGCGTCAAATTCCCCCGCAACATCCACATTCGTGGAGATATGAGGCCTCTTAAGCAATATTCGCTGTCAACGGCTTCCACATCTGTGGAAGAGGATCTGCAATAAACAGTAACGATCCCTGTAATCTTCGAGCTAGGCACCCTAGCTTCCACGATCGTGGGATCAATCCGCCCGGCTGCTATGGCATACCGCTATTCTTGGTAACTTTGTATCCGATCTATCGAACTCTATTGCTCACCGCATGTTATCGCTATTCAATTTAAACCTTCCTGGAGCCCAATTCAGTGCGATGAAACAGGTTGGGGTGCCTATGTTCATTTAGGGATTTAGCTGAGTAAAGGTTGCTGGCGGTTTTTCGTACACCACGCACACAATTGTGATGCGGCTCTGCTCTTGTCTGCCTGTCAAGGCTATGTTCGTAGAATTAAAAACGCCCTCCGCAACTGTGGACGAGGCAAACTGTTCACGTTATACATACTAATAATACAACCACCAACCCATACAACGAAACACAATTAACCTTTGTTTAATCTCAAACATTCAATAAGCTTCAATTGCATTCTCCAGGCTCACAGTGTTTAAAGGGGATGAACGACATCGGCGCCCTGTTACAGAAGTACCCAAGACCTCACTAGTAGCGGCACGATGTTTTCGGAACTTTCAGTACGACACCGTTGGAGGCTGTCCAACAGTGAGGGCGACGAGTCGTCCGCCCCAGGCTTACACAAACGTTTCACCAAACGCTTCTCGCATTTCTGGAGACGTAAACGAGACAGGTTCGAGGCCAAAGTGGCTGCGAAAACAAAGCAAGCAGGGGATGCACCGTCAAACAATGGAAATGGTGATCACAAGTCAATTGGCCAGCGAGTGCCCTACAAAGCCTTGAGCCTACTTTTCAAGTCAGGCTACCCTGTACCTGACATCCTGGCCGGCGCGAGGCTGCAGTGTCAGCAAAATGGTAAATAGCTTTCCAAAAACAACTTAATTGTATTGAACCTGACATTGACGAAGAGATGATTAGTTCTCCATACGCACAGTGGCCATCTGGGGGATTTTGGCCCAGCCTCACGCATCGGCCCGTTCTCGACGTTGGGTCTTGCCCCTCAGAAGCTAAACTTCTGTACAGGGGATCATTACAGGGCTGCTACTGGGGGGCCCTCTAGTCACAAAAGGCCACCAGGGAGCCCTGGGAAGTACGGCAGCAACAGCAAGAAGCCACGCAAGGAGAACAAACAACCCGCCGACAGAGCCCAGAATGGCGCAAATGGTGATGGCGCCGAGGGCAGCGGCGACGAGTCCCCGAGCGACACAGATAGTGATGACGGCGAGGACGATGAAGGTGATTCCAGCCGCGATGGGCCACGTTATCCGCTACCCACAAGTTCTCCCGACCGCAAAAGGATCCTTGCATGCCCATTCCACAAGTATCATCCAGCTCGGTACTGTAAATGCAAAGGTCTCCGCATAACGTCCATCAGCTATGTTATTCAGCACATCAGCAGAGGCCACGTATTGAAAGAAGTGAGGATGGATGTACAGGAGACCACTCATTCAACGGATGACAGTCCCACTCGCCCGGAAAAGACGAAAAGCCCCGATAAGATCGTTTACTACTGTCCGACATGCCGGTATGAGTTCCACGGCCGTGGGGCTGATATGAGATGGGAACGCCACACGGATAAAGGATGCAAGACAAAAAGCATTGCGGACACGGGCGTTTTGCTACCGGCAGAGTTCGAAAAACTCAAAAAAGAGGTCACTGCAGCGTCTGGCAACGATAAATGGGACAGGATATGGAAAACATTATACCCAGGAATAACGACACCATCCCCGTACAACGAGGCAGAACCTGTTGCTCCGTTGACTGATGCACAGCCACAAAACAATATCCAACATGACCCGCTTCTCGGAGCTGTCAATGAGCCTTACCACCATCCTCCACAAGATTTCGGTCAGCGAGGAGTGGATTTTCCGCAAAACCCTCACAATTATCTGACCGATGACCCATTTGCCGACATGTTTAATGTCTCCTGTGGTACGGCGGATGAGTTTGGGGATGCGAACCATGCTACAAGCCACATCCCGAACCCCGCACCGCCTAATTTGCAGATGATCAGGCCAGTGCCAGACTTGACCCAGTGGTCCATGCCGCCAACACAAAATCCGCCTTTTCCCAATAATAACTGGAACAACTTCACTACAAGCATCATCTGTCGCGTCTGTGGCAACGCTGGTCATGTAGCTCGCGATTGTCCTGGCCAACACCAGAACAACTTCCGTGGCCCTCAATGATCAAACCTCTGAGATTTTAACCACATCATGTACTCTTCATTTGAACATATTTCTGTCTTTTCTTGGTTTTCTGCGTTTTTATCAGGTGTGAGAAGTGGGGCATTTGAACAAGTACAAAAAAAGAAAGGCATTGGCGTTGCGAACGTAATTGAGGTTTTGGGGGTTCAATCATGAGATATGATGGATAATTGAAGCGTCAAAGGAGTTACGGGAAATTGATGATAGGTTATGAATATTGGTTTGCTCTAACAACAGAATTGTTAAGGTACCTTGCGGCTGCATTGCGTTAGATGGCACCCAAAACATTAGAAGATAGTTAGTTAGACTTCCACATGATGAATTTTAGAGCGCTATCCACATCGTTTTGCACGAATTACCTATCTTCTACCGTCAAGGTGGTGGAGGCACATAAAACACGCCCCAATACAGGATCAATTCGAATATCATAAACGAAAGGAGTCCCAAACGTGAAAGTCAAAGTGAGGCTCTACTAACAAATGCCTAACAAGCTTGCGCGCCAATCAGATCACAGGAGCATTCCGAACATGGTGAATCCACCATCATGCCACTAACCAGGGGCTCGCTCAGGGCAGAATGACGACACTGGGCCAAAATGTGAGATGATTTTTGGATCATGTGAATTTGAACTCCTGGGGTTTCCCCGTCCCCAGCGTATGGAAATCAGCAGCTTTTCGCAATCAGGCCATAGCTTCGTAGCAGCACCATTCGAGTTTATTCTCGCGAACGCCCATGATACCAGCGCACAAGACCAAATTATCGGGATCAGCCGGGTCAATTGAGGATAAAAGGGAATTGGACCGCAACTTGTAAATAGCATTCATCACCAATTGACTACTCATCAATCAAACACCACTAAAATCAACACTCAAATGACCATTGACCATTTATTTTAAATCATGACGACCAATTCATTCGGCTCAGCGCTTCCCCGCTTTGACTTTCCCCGCCAACCCGCTGCCCCAAAATTGACAGCCCAAGCGGCTCGCGCGTTCCCCACTGTCGCCATTGTCGCTACAGCTGGTACGTCTCCAAACCAACTTCAACTACAATTGACAAAAGCTAACACCTGTACAGCGGCTTATTACTACACATATTACTACGCCCCTAGCCGGGAATATCACATGTATACACATTCTTCGATAAAGAATAGCGCCATGTTCCAGAGCACAAGGAGTACAAAACCCAAGGCCGAGATAACGCCTTCGGAACGGATGGAAGAGATCGGGTTGTGGTGGACAGCATATTGAGCCATGTATCTCTATTGATGAAGAGGATTTGCTCGACTTGTCTTTACATTGCAAAGGAGTATTATTTTAATCTCGGGCCGAGTTTGAGCCCGAGTTGGGTTGGGGAATGTGTTAATCAGATATACCACCGCGCTGGGGGCGCACTATTTAATACAATCATTGTCAATCATGTTTTCTTTACTGGGTGAACCTAGAATGACTTATTCCGGCTACCCGAACTTCTATTTTGACCCAGTCCTATATATGATCATCCGAGAACGAAAGACTTTATGATTATAACGCCTCCTGAGTTGTTTCGCCTTGCTACAGCTACACGTCGAATACAAGGTCTACTGATTATATATCTCCGCCAGAGATAAGTCCAACTTGCAGACTTAAAGGCTTAGAAACCTGTATGCACCCTTGACGTTTTCCTTTGAGTGTAGGGTTGAGTATTCCTCGTCGCTCAGCCCAGACATGTCTCATTCTATTCTTGATAGACGGCTCTCTTGTCGTCTTCACAAAACTACTCCCAAGTATATGTCCATAGAGGAGTCACAGGCTGTTAAAGAATATAACTTCTCTGTCCCCTTTTCTGATTACACCGTTTGATGTAGTCTCAGGACTCCGTTGATTCATCGAAGATATTTGAGCAATGGGTTGATCTTCTTATTAGAAGCTGTTTAGGTTTTGTACTGAAGATTGGTAGTCCTCTGAAGATAGACATTCCTCCAAGGAGCTATTAAACGACATGAAATCCTCCATCGAGATGTCACTGCCGGGGTCCCCCAGATGCCAATCCATCCCGAGATCCGAACGGTGCGGACCGGCTGGGTGATCAGGATAAGAGTATTCGAACTGGTTTTGATGCTGAGTGGGCGTGAGACAGGTGAAGGTGTAATTTGAAATGCTCGGAGTTTCAACTTCATTTGAAAACTGCCATTCTCGTGTTGCTGGACCGACAGGCTCTGGGACTTTGATCGAGCCCTGGTTGAGCATCTGACTGCTCCCCACCTTCAAAGACTCGCAGGCATGTCCAGAGTTTTCTCCTTGTTGAGTCGTCGTCCCAGTATCCTGAGCCTTGGCGACTGGTTCTTTCAAACTCTCCTCCGGCAGTGTCTGCTGCTTTTGTTCAAAATAGCCCTCAACTCTGCCTATAATCTCGGACAGCAATGGGCGCAACTGATCTGCGCACGGAACGTTCAGTGCACCGCTCAAACTAGAGATAATATTCTGCTCTTCCTCTCTCCATATACCACGCATGATTCCCGTGATTTCTTTGAAAATGCCGTCATGATGTGGGTTTAGTCTATCCCCGAGCTCTCCAAATAAGATATTGCATATTTCATGCCATTGAATCTCAGGAGATGAGCGCCTATCAACACGGTACTTAAGTACTTCTTGTGCACGCGGAGAAACGCTGTCGTGGCTTGTACAGTCCCTTATTGGACATTCCTGCTGCAGGACATGCTCCTCATATGTCTTTTGTAAGGAGAACCCCCTAGAGCATCTGGAACAGGTATAATTCCACGTGTGCCGCCTCTTCAAGTGTTGCTTAACATCTGATATTCGAATCAGCCTAAGGTTGATGCAATCAAAGTAACGTTCGGGGTATTTCCTGTAGTAAGGACAAGCGAAGGCCTCGGTTCTCTTATCTGTATTTGTTGCTGTAGCAGTGCGACTCTTCTTTTGCGGTTCCTTGCTTTCTGCAGCACTCCTCTTGGAGGAAATTTTCGATGATTTGCTATCCGAACTAGTTTTCTCTCTCTGTGGTTGCGCCTCGAGAGAGTGTTCCCAGCACGCACTCTTTGGGAGTAAAGGTCGTTTAGTTGTTGCGCCCCCCTAGCACCACCAATTCGTTTTCATTTGAGGGCGAAAGCTTTGCTTTGTGCAAGATTTCCGAATTTGGTGGTGATATAGCGTCCGATGCCTTTTGCCGTGATTCCGTATGTGGCGATGGCCCAGAGACCGGCTGGTGACTCTCGCACCGTTTTGCCATATCTGGGCTTGAGGAGTCATTGAGATATGTAATGAGCTGTTAGCTTCCTAGACCCTCGAGAATAACAGAAACGAATCATACGAGAGAGCATAGAGGATTGGCTCTGGACATGATTGACTTGTTCGTGTTGATTTTGAGATGTAGCGGGTGAACTCGATGATCCATGAAGCTGTTTGGACTGCCGATCTGCATGCCGGTTGTCCACAATGAAGGGGTTTGTAACTCTGTACTCGTCCTGAGCCGTGTAAGCAATATTACGATCAGTGCCAGAAGAGCCATTGGGAAATCTCGGGATTCTCCCCGGTTCGGAAATATAGGACTTTGGACCGATTTTCATTCTGGAATGCCAAGTAGTTGCGAAAACTACCACGGTCAGGTATTCACGGTGTACGTAGTTAATACGTTATGTCCAATAGGGAATAATGCCAAAGACATATTCAAGTTAGGTTGTGATACATCGCTTGGGAGATAGGGAAGGCACCTAGTACTAGAAATACAAGGAGCATGCGGCTGAAAGAGTTTGCGTAGGGTTGAGGATGAAGAATTACAGGCAACGAGGCAACTGAAGCTCGTCCCCCAAAACATGGGAGCCACTACGAATACGGGGGGAGGGGGTGTAGAATAGCAGACAGCCGATACAGATGAATGAGACCACTCTGAATTCTACAGCCTTTGTCATTTTCAAGATGGTTGCAGTGTTACCAGGCAGTCTATGGAATCATTGACGTATCTTTGAGATTATCAGGATTTTCTAATCGCTTATGATGAAATGCCTTAAAATTACAAAACAATATTGCACTTTTAACCGCCATCAAATATGCCTCCATAAGAGAGCCTTTTTAGGCATTGAATTAAATTATTCTTCTCAGTTTCGTGTTGAGCTCTGAGGCTGTGCCATGGTGACGCTCCTGTCAGCAGCCTTCCTTGGAGGTCAAGCCCTGGATCCAACAGCCAACTTTGAATTCTGCCATCAGATTCTGCTCTTCGACTTGATTGGTCCGGTTCACTTCGGGCGCGGGTTAGAGAAGAAGGCTGGTGTAATGGGTATTTCGAACAAACCTGGTTGACGTTGTCATTGAAAACGACATGTTTGATCCGGTAACTGAGTTTGTGAAAAGACTGCTAACCAAAAAGCATGTTGTAGGTCTACGAATGAGTCATATTCATCATATAAATATTGTTATTTCACCAGACTGTCGTCGTCCGCAACGGCGGATGCTAAGCCTGGGCCCTATTTCACGATTGTGGAACAATTCATGATGCCGACGAATGGTATAATAGCTAGCAGATTTCGAGGACTCTTGGCTATGACGAACCGCAATTGTGGGCATGTAGAGCTTGGTAGCTGGGAAAGACACAATAAGTGGCGGCCAATGAGAGCTGTGGGTGTGTCGTACAACAGCAATAGTGCAATACAGTATCGAATAGGATCATCGGGCAGGGATATACCACCGCCCAAGCTTCCGCTTTTGCGTAGAAAGAAATATCTAACTGGAGAGGAGGCCTCTGGTGTGAACCAGTTCGCCAATGGAGTGATCTTCCGATAGGCCGGCATAAAAAGACAGTCATGATAATCTCAGCTTTCCGCGCAGGTGTAATACTTCCGCATATGTGTACAGTCACGCTCCTGCGTGAGACATGGCTGCCCAAGACAATACCCATTGTGATACTCCAATATCCGAGTAATTACCGTCTTTCTCCCTGTTACTCGGAACCCCAATTATAAGCTTATTCACGAGGACGGTAGCCAGGAGTCAGGATGATATTCTTTCAGTTTAATGGGGGGCCTGGATTGCAACTAATTGCACGAAATTTGGTCAATTTATACCTAGCGAAACTCTCGTAGTAAGTGAGGCTGTTTCTCTTCCGCGGCTGTGTAGGTCGGTCTGTGTGATTGCATGTAAGTGTAGATTATCAACAACAGAGCCTCCAAGACCTGCGCAATCGCGGAAGGCAGAATGCTGCCTTGATTAAAAGGGCTCCCCAATATCTTTCTCTTTGAATTTCAATCCGTCGTCAGTTGTTGTAAGCATTGGCGTTCTTTCAGTCTGCGGCAACTCCTTCTTTTCCTCAGTTCCACAAAGACACAGCATAACTCTCCCCTGCCCTAGTCTTTTCTCCGAGCATACCTCTCTGACAAGATGCTCAGCTGCGAATATCTCCCTGATAGTAAAGCCCAGCCCCCAGTCTTTTTCGCCTGTCCCTTTAACAACACCGACCCGGTAAAATTCCATGAGTGTAGCCACATTCGTCTTCGCCGACTAAGCGATGTCTCCTTGCACCTCGAACGGTGTCATACGCTACAAGAGATGAAACTTTGCACAGCTCAAGGGGCCCAGGAAGCCATTAGGAATGGAAAAGAGAAAGGCAATTGCAGAGAATCCAAAGACGTCAAGGTCTACTGTACGATTTGTCGTCTGATGTTCCGTGGCGGTGACGCGGAGGTTGACCCCGAACGCCACCAGGCCGAAAGCATCTGCCAGCTAAAGACCATTGAAGAGACAGGAATGTTGCTACCTAAAGAGCTCGAAAGAGTCCTTGCTGAACGCTCCAGCGCGACGACGAGCCCTGAAGATAAATGGTACGCTATGTGGAATGTGTGCTTTCCACCTCTGACAACGACAAGATTTCGAAATGTCCCAGTGTCCCCATATGTCCAGATAACCGCCGCGCGCGAGGTTGCCAAAACACTCATTCGCCGGGCCCTGGGCAAACTGCGTATTCCGATGGAGGACCATAGGTCCGCTTTCGATGAGATTGTCAGCGGACTATACCCTGTTCAGTTTGGAGCAGACGCCAAAGTCAAGAAGATTGTCCATGATCAGCAGATAAAGCGAACTTCAGCACTCCAGGAAGCGGAATTTGATGAGTTCTGCCGATCAACTCTCGGCTCCTCAGAAGTGACACCGCCAGGTGTTTCGTCCACCGATCCTGTGCACCACGAACAACAACACACAATAGAGCAAGGAGACAATGGGATGATGAGTCTCTCGAACCTGCTTCCAGGAGAGCCAGACCTGTTGCAACGGTCGTACCCTACCATACCTTCACACTACTCTCTTCCCGAAGTTCAAGGCCCCTTCCAGATGACTAGTTCTGCGCATGGGCAGTATATGGATTTGGATGACTATGGCCCTTCAAACGGGTACAATGGCGGTTTCAGTGACGGCTAATAGTCACTTCTCTATATTTTTCCGTCCTCAATATGTTCCTCCAACCTTTTTCTTCAACTTTTCACTTCGATTCCTTTCTCTGTCATTTCCTTCTTTGTCGTTACAAACAGAATGGATACGCAAGCGTTTCTGTCAGCGCAAGAAGGACAGCCGCAGCATACCTTTCCCCCCCTGACCATTTGGTTGATTATGCGGTTTTGATCTTCGTCATTGGAAAATTGATACGCTTTTAGTATCATTTGAAACTTTCAATTACTATATCTGAGGTTTGCGGTGATAAAATGAATGTGTATGCCTTTATTACAAAACCCAAGCATTAATTTCTGCACTGTAGATGACACCCTTCGATAATTGTGTTTCTAAAACTTCATAGTAGGCCCTCCGGAACTAAACCTCAAGCTTCCCGCAAGGCATTAATGTTTGTAAGATGATATTCTCTGGTGCTTCAAATAGTCCGAGTTTGCATTCGGAGCCATCCAACTGCCAAAAGTCGTGAAGCATGATAAAGTTTTATCGAGATTTCTGGCCTAGATACGGGGAGTGCGGCTGTTGAGAATCCGGAAACACGATAGACCAAATGAAAAGCCACTGGGCCTCTTCACCAGTGCAATGCCAGTCTGTCTCGAGTAGCATCGATTTTTGGCTTTCACTTAATCCAAACAATGGACCCGGAGTACGCCGTTGGCATTTTCCACTCAAAACATGATCGTCGCGACAAATCTGCGTGTCGAATGCTTCATAACAGTTTATACAGTAGCATGGCCGAGAATGAGACTGGAATAAATGCTCAATCACATCCGAAATGTCTTGTAGGTTGCTCGCGAGCCGACATTGGCAGCACCTCTCAGGATCGTAAACATAGAAAGGGCAGGCGAGATGAAGATTTTCTCTGGGCCGGTGCGTACGACGCGATATCACGACGAGATCATCGTCACTGATATCGCATTCATCAAATGCTTGCCCACGCGTCATCTGCTGCCCATGTGACGTTGTGAAGCGTTTTTGAGGGAGCAGTCTATTCTCTGGCGCTGTGATGGACTCATTCTTCTCTTTCCAGTCGTTAAACGTTGCACGTGTATGCTTCTTGACCTCAAATCGCTGGAACCGGAGATCATCATTCTGAATCCGTTTTGTTTCCGATGATGAGAGGTTTCCAATGTCATCCTCATTTTCTGTGTCGTTGGTAGACCAGTAATGAGGCTCCATGTCATGTATGGGAGGCAAGGGTGCGCCAAGCTTGCGTAATGGGGCATAGGGTTGGTGGTGAACACAGGGATCCCATTGGGCAGTACGCTTGGCCTCCTTTATGCCGTTTCTTGGTCCGATTGGTTGCTTGAGGTCACGCTGGCAACATGCAGGTTCAGCCATTGCTTCTGCCTTTCTTCTACGAAAGGGAGACTCAATGTACTGAAGGATGATGTACAAGAGACCAAGACTGGAGGAGAACATATTGATGTTGATGATTAAACACAGCTCAGGCAGTATACCTGCTCATCTCTTCTACGGATATTGAGTGAGTCTTATATGTAGCTGCTCAGCCCGAATCTCGTGAGGCAGATAATCCGCAACACTTATGTGTATTTGCGATTGATTCACCAATGAAATTGAAGCTCGGGCGGTGAGATATGGAGCCTAGCGTGACAAGCCAATGAGGATTGGCAACCTGGGTCATCGCAAAGCCTGTGTACGCAACGGCGGAAGAGGTAATACGAAACTTCCGATACTCAATCAGATGTCCGATGCAGGTTGAAAATAAAATGGTTCGCCAAGAAATCATACTCTGCTTCTCGAGGTCTGTGTGACACAAATACCTTTTCATTCGGGGGCGCAACAGCCTGATCCAATACCACGACGGCGTGACCACAATACACATCGCAATTGTGAATCTCGTGTCATAACTCACAGCCGATCCACGAAGCCCACTTTTATTTCTCTTGTAGAGGCACAATAGTTGGCGTTTAAGGTGTGCCAGGCTACGCAGGGTATCAGGTTGAAACGGTGCCTTTCGGTCTTTCTGCATCTCTCAAGGGTTATCGTACATCCGAGGATGCCATCCATGGACTTGAGCATTGGCAATTGGACACGCCACGAATTGAGGCCCTTTCGGCGCATTCTGTCCACAGCCTAAGTATATGTGCCTAACCGTGCAGCATCCATGCATCCACCTTCAAATGCAAAGAACAAAGAAGATATTGGAACACGCCATCCTCAAGTTTAGAGCATGTTCAAGATCTAGACCAAGGTCTAAAGGTCTAGAAATCATTGCTGCGGCACCGAATGTAGTTGGCCTGATTTCTCAATTCTCTGTGTTGATTTAAACTTTCAGCGAACAGTCCCAGCTGAAAATGACACATGTAGCTCACGATTTAGACATGAAAGAACGTCCATGTTGGCCTCATTTCTACCTGAGGCCAGCCATGCATCATGCCAGGAGGGTCAAGGTTAGAAGAGGCTTCAGCCCCAGGGCACAAAGGTAAAGAACACCAACAAACACAGACAGGAAATAACCCTCCCTATTGCCTAACATCTTACTTTTAGCTGAAAAGCCCGATAACCTAATGATTGACTCTAAGGGTGTAGGAATAAGTGTCTGCTGCTCTTCTGTGAAGATAAGCAGGCTCCATCCTAGGTTGGATGGTACGCCTTTTCAAAGGATTGCTTCTGATGAACATAAAAGTCTAAACGCTCTAGCAAGGTAGTTCTTCATCTTGTGCCATCAATCTCATCGCACATGCTTAAATCCACTACATTATCATGATCGTTGCTTCTTGTTAAGATGTTACGTGTTGAAAGCTTGAAGCAGTTTGGGCTTGTTACTGTATTGACTTGATGTCTGAAATGTAATTGTGTTTGATATCAATCAACTCCAAAGGCATATCCTTGTCTTTCGGTATACTTCCGGTGCCGTGTCCTTGATATGTGACCCGGCGCTCGAGAACTTTAATATCTCCTGCCCAGGAAAGTATTAACAGTGATTCGAGATCAAAAGATTGATTCTAGCGCAATTTACTTTCTATATTGATTCAGGACAGCTGTGAGGTATCTCACAGCGAGCTATCAGTACAACGGAAGACCTTAGAAAGGCCGCAAATCTCAAGTAAAATCCTACACAAGCACTCGAGATGCGCTATAAACAGCTTGAAATCTCATTTTAATTTAATACACGGATAGATGGAGATGTTTACAAGGCAAAATGGATATTCATCCAGGGCCTGTTGAAACCTATTTCTGAACAGTAGAACTGAACCTAAAAAGGACTTTAATAATTATGTAACGCCCATTAAGAATACCGGGTTTAGTGACCATCATCCAAGCCTCCATAGCTTTCCCCTACCTGAGTTTACGAGATCACCTGTCCGAAAACAGAATCGTAGAATCGCTATCATCTGTCATTGCCCAGTCTACCAGACCACGCAACGCCACCTGGCACATCGTATCATTTCTTACTCTGTTCCCATCAGCATGACTTCCCAGTCCCCTGAGGAAGCCCGAGACGGCTTCCTGACCTTCGACAGTCCAGAAATCCCTCACCATGGAAACTTTCAGCCCCTCGTCCTGATCAAGATACGGAGATCGAGGCTGCTCTCTACCTGGGAAGACCGTGGACCAAACACGACGCCAACGACGTGCTTCTCCCAAGTCATACCGATCTCTCTTGATCAATCTCACTTTTTGGCTTTCAGTCAGACCCATAGATGCCTCTTGATCGATTCTTTTGCATGCGTTCTCCAAGACGTGGTTGTCTCGATCAATCAACGTTTCAAAAGTCTTCCAGCATGTGCGGCAATACAGAGGCTTGTCGTGCTGCCGTAGAAGATGTTTGATCAATGCTTCAATAGAGGATACATCGTGTTGGGCAAGACATGTCTGATGCTTGTCGGGTGCATTGATGTAAAATGGACAAGCAAGGTGAAAGAAGCCTTGTCTGCGTGTTGGGTGAGAAATTACAACGAATTCCTCCTCGCTATCATTCTCTTCATCGGCTCTTGGAAGACCCGACCGCCATTGTGATGTTCTGAAACGCTTTCGCGGCGGCAATCTGTCCTTTGGCGGCTCAGTGTATTCTACCCCATCAACCCAACGACTGAATCTCTCTCTCAAAAGTTGTTGTATATGGATCTTTTGCTCAAGAGATAATTGGCAGCACGAAATGCTATTCTCTTGAGATTCTGGCTGTTCGTTGGTGCTGATGATGGCATCATCGTCATTGCTTTGGGAACCCTCGCATCTTGAGGGGGCTGTAGCCTCGTAGAGTTCAGACTCTTTACATTGATTGTCGGGAAGAGACAGCGACCGGCCTAATCTTGTTCTTTTCATACCAGTCTGGGTAGGCTGTTGGGTCGATTGTCTGGAGAATTGCCTCACTGGGAGCTTCCGTGACCCTTGCGGAGTCATAATGAAATCTTGGAACAGTTTTGCTAGAGAGACAACGGAAGCGAAAGGTAGTAGAGTTCTTTGTCACCAAGGTCGTGAGGAGGCAGGAGGTGTAAAAAATACCCAGGATGTATCTGATGTGGCTGAATGGAACACAATACCAGGGAGATCGTCTCTAATGTACTCACTGTCCTGTAGCCTGATGTAAATTTCAAAAAACTCGAGTTTTGTTCGTTGGTAGCCAATGAGCTTGCAGCCGAAGGTATGTCACGCTAAATTGTCACTCTCGCTTCTGGAGGTGGTGTAAATGTCGCGCCAATGAAAAGACAGTCTATCTTGGAGTCTGCACAATCGTGGAATAACTTTTCAGCCCTAAGCCAAACAGGTTCTCCCTTCACTTTACATTGGTGCAGAAACGACTAGACTATTGCAGAGTCAGCAGAGAAAGTACCTGTCGCAGATAGAATGCCTGCGGCGAAACACCCGCAGCTGTACATGACAAAGCTCCAATCTGAAGTTGCCACGATTGTGGAGAGCTTGTCTGACGTTGAATTGCGTGGTTGGTGGTGTACAACTGCCGACTTGCTGATTCACTACAAGCGCAATGCATTTCGGGCTTACCGCCAGTATTTATCTGAAACTAACATACGTTGCGTGGATTGAAATCACAATTCATGCACAGCCCGACTTGAAATAGACGGCAGGTATCCGTTGTTGAGATAAGCGGTCTCCTGATGACGAAAGGACCACGAATGACCGTATTTTGATCTGCTTAGTGGTCTATGGAAATCTCTAGTGCTAAAATCGAAATTTTGCATCTTTGGTTCCCAGTTAATCTGGACGGTGTACCGAGAGAAGATCTACGGTGGCCGGTCGGCGAGCCATTAGAGAAACCACCAATTGGTATGAAGATACGAAGCTCAAATAGGTAGCAGCATAACTAGCCCTTGAATATTTCATAGATAGGTCAGAATCAAGTAAATCAAAAGTTCATTGTGTACTGTTTTATTCAGTCTGCTCCCAATGATATAATTCATTGCTAAAATACGTTTATGGTCAATAGAGTCCGCGTCCGACCCGATGTCCTTGGCTCATAGAGCCTTGGGAGTCTCATCATCAATCAATGAATTCCATTGCCCATAAGCGTAAGATTTTATATAGATGGGGCTCAGCTGGAGTACTCAACAAGAATCACAGAGCAGGGTGCAGACAGCGATGACAAGTGAACAGATCAACAGTGTCTACATAAGCAGCATTCTCGTAGCAGCATTTAACTCGATCTCCTGGAGATGGCAATAGTCGAGCAGGTCTCACCTAACCCTTGAGCAAAGCATCATGTTTTGCGATTGAGTGACCATTCCATAGAGAACTTTACGAGGAGCCCTCATAATTCTATATTTAGGCTTAATATTAGAAGTCTGTAGAGAACGGTGATAAGCAAGAATAACCACTATATAAGAAGATACTTATAGCAAGACTTATATTACCCCTAGAACTAATATATGCCCTTTGCAATTGAAAAGCCCTCGGTGATCTCCTTCTAGGCTAAGAGCTTTTGAGACTAACAGTGTCCAGGTCAGTTGCAATCTGTCAAGCTTTGGTTGAACAAAGACTTACTCGGGTTTCTTTATCATTTACATATAAAATGTGTTTTATTCCATATAGACCTCAATCAGCTAGACTACTTGAACAAGATCTTCAGAGACTTAATGGGTGCCATGATGACTGTACAAAAACAGTAAAAGAGTCACAGTATCTTCTTTAAATCTTCCAGAGCCTTGATCTGATTGTGCCGTCTTGATGGTATCCTTATACTTCATTGTAACCCAGTACTTGAATTTGGGTCTCATATCGGTTGCCGCTACATGACCGTTTGTTTACAATGAGGTATTGCCAGTAATTCTGTGACTGTGCGATTAGCACTTTTAGAGCCCGGATGAGTTCAACGAGTTTAGAATACTCAGCCTTCAGCTTGTTTGAGATCAACGTAGCTTGTAGATTCTGTGGCCAATGTGGTCGCAAACAAGCATCGTTTTCGTCTACTCCAAGCCTGGAGTCTCCGGCTTTAGTACAAGACATCTTGTCAAGGATCATTCCTGCATTACGCCCATTTCTTGGCAGCATAGGATTATAGCTGCAACAATAGGTCTATATTGAATCTCACAACTAGATAGGATCGCGACTCGAAGGCCTACTAAAGTGTACCCTTGGACATCCCTTTATGCTTTCAGTGAGTCTTGTCACCACTTATTGTTGCGAGACTATAGTCTATTTCGAGACACTGTTTCCATGTGGCTTCAAACAAACATGGAATATCTATCGACTGCTGTTTGGCCGTGCTGTCTTATGCCTTCTGGTTTGTGATGTCTCGCTGTCGCCGGCATGAACGCTCTTGCATGGGCCGATCCAGATTAGATGGTGCTCATAGTGATCTTGGCATATATATGCAGCACCATGATTTTAAAGGCTATGGGCTCTTTCAATAAGCGAGAGCTCATGCCTCCGAGACAATGTTTAAAAAGGCTGGCTGAGACTGCTCTCAATGAAGTTTAAGTGAGGGGTTAAGACCTGTCCTGCATGAAGAGCTGAAAATTGAAGGCTTGGCTGAGATCAAAAGAATGCTGCGATGCACTGTGACAGTCAACCCAACGCCTGATAAGAAAAAGCCGCCATGGCTCGATATTATAGTATGAAGCCTAAAACAGGTGTATGCGTGGTTTCGGGGTTTATCTTCAGTTGTAACAAGAAACGCCATTCACCAGCTCTAGGCTTTTTACTGGTGCTAGAAACGCCACCCGCGCTTCCATCACCCCTAGCGGCGTTCGCCTAGGCCCTACCGGGTACTCTCCGCATACCTCGGATCGATATATTGACATTAGTTTGCATGAAATAGTTCAATGCATGTGATATCTCTACGGCGGCCGCCTTGGATAGGAAACGGCGATTGGATAGGGATGGGAGGACTTGTCTTACCGCATCTTTGGCTGATATGTTTATCTTGTCACTGCAAAAGCTGAAGTACTGAGACTCGTCGTGCCGGGGGGCACGAAATATATAAGCGCAGTCTCGTCCTCAGTTTGTTGGTTTCTATTGCAGCATACAGGACATTAAAAGCCCCAAAACCACCAGAAACACTTAAGTTTGAACAAACCAACTTTCGAAGTCATGGACAATATCAACAATTCCCATAAAGAGGGAGCTGTGATCGGCCTCCGTGAGGTTGCAGGTGTAGTAGAACGCCTCGACATCGACGTCATGTTGATGACGCAGCCGGACACCTTCAATTTGTTTCTCATCGCATTGATGGAGCTCCAGGCCATGAAGGAGAAGAACAAGGAGATAACATGGACACCTGACCCTGGCTATTCCTTCACCTCGAATGATATCATGTCTTGGTACCAGATTGCAGGTAAGTCTGTCCTTAGCCCACTTGCTCAATTGACTGCTAATTAGCAATAGGTATACATGGCCTGCCAGCTGAAGATTGGGCTGGGGAAAAGGATCGTGGATAGACAAACCGGGATATCAAGAGAGATGGCGATGGCTACTGTGCCCATTCCACCCCAACCTTTGCCCTGTGGCATCGACCTTACCTTGCCATGCTTGAGGTGAGAAGATTGACTCACCACGCAATATCCTGCTGATCACTCCGTTTATAGCAAACTATCTTCCGTCAAGTCGATAACATCGCCAAGCGATTTTCTGAGTCTCCCGACGTGTCAGACGAAGATAAGCAGAAATACAAGGCTGCCGCTAAGAAGTTTCGACTTCCATACTGGGATTATTATCGTCCCAGAGGGGGGCCGGTCACCTTCTCAGGAGTAGTTAACGGCAACACAACAACATCTCCATATGATTTTCATGCCCCGAGGATCTTTACGAAGAAGAGGGTCATGGTCAAGCGTCTCCCCGACAACAAGCTCATTGAGATGCCCAACCCGTTTTTTCAATTCGAATTTGACGAGAGCGGCTCGAACAGAATTGACTGGACATTTTCTCAGCTCGATGTGAGTCTATTATGGTCGTGAGAAAGATGACTTGCTTACATGTCCACGCCACAACAGCACGAGAAGCTGCCCGACGCCAAGAAGCGAACATGTCGTCACGGAGGCTCCGAACCGTACAATACCAGCTTACTTAACACAAGGCTGAATGAAGTGCGAGAAGATCAGACGCGCGCCTGTCTTGCCATGATCGAGGATAAGGTCTATAGTAACTTCAAAGCATTTTCGACTGACGCCATCATGGATCCTGACGTTGATGCCATAAAAGCCTTGAGAAATACCACTGGATCGATCGAGGGATTTCATAATGGCTATCACGGCTATAGGTGGATTTGCAGGAGACCCGGGGAACCGTGTAAAAGTTGGACACATGAGCAGCGTTCCTGTGGCGGGATTTGATCCCATCTTCTGGATCCATCATTGGTAAGTCAGACCGTCCGCTATACAGCCAGCAATTTCGGTTCCTGATACAAGATCACAGTCAAATTGATAGAATCTTCGCTATCTGGCAGGCTGCTAATAGCGGCGATGACGACAAGCATTGGTTCAATGAGTTGCCAGGTGCGGAACACCAAGCTTTGGGCGGCGCAAGCCTCCACCCATTCCGCAAGTGGCCTATCAAGCCGGCCAAAGAAGACAGGTATTGGACTTCTGATTCAGCCAAGCATACCGATACACTCGGATACACCTATGCTGAAACTGCCGGTGGAAAGAAAGGTGATCAAGTTCGTAACGAGTTCACGCGGAAATATGGCTGGAGCCGAAGACTCCTTGCCAGTGACGTGATTGGGGTGCCCCCGAAGGACATGATGCCTTTAGGCGTCTCCAAGGCCCAAGTCTTCCGTGGCCTGCCTTCTGATGATCTGTTCACGCCTCTGATACCGCCATCAATCCAGCCAAGGACGGAGCAAAAGGTCCTGGCAACATCAACCCCATCCTCCAAGTTCTCCCAAGAGTGGTACATTGATGTCGTTGTCGAGAGGTAAGCCCAAACAAGTTCTTGAATGTCGAGATACCCTGACTGGCAATTGTCCAGGATGGCTTTGAATGGATCTTACACCATTTTCTACATCATCGGTGACGTTGACGGTCACTCTGGTATGGAATGGTCTTCCCTCCCAGGCTTTGTTGGAGTTCCGCATATCTTCACTTCGAGCACTGAGGTTTGCGAGAACTGTGCAGACCAAAAGCGCCAAGTTCAACTTGTTACTAGCACAACTCCTATGACGTCGCTGTTACTCGACTATGTCAAAATTCGGCAGTTGGGTAGTCTGAGCCCAGAGCATGTTGAGCAATTCCTCATCGACAAGTTGAAGTGGCGTGTTCAGACTGTAAGTAGTAGCATTGGTTGTTAATGAGATGGAAGACGTGACTGACTGGATTCATTGCTACAGATTGACGGCAAGATCATTGACCCTAGACGCTTGGATAGAGATTATACGATGAAGCTTGGAATCAGCCGCAAGATTGCACCCATACCCGGGCAGGATGGGGAGGTTCGGTACACTTTCCATCCTAAGATCATCGACACCATCATCAATAACTCCTCACCTGAAAGTACAACCTTGGCTGCTCAGTAGGAATAAGCTGCCAACATCAAGTTTCAAGGTTATGTAGCAATTCAGTTAGGTTTCACATGCAATTCAATCAGATTACTCGCACAATCCTCACATGGACCTTGGCTTGAGCTGTTTAACAGACACATTCTGGCAAATGGATTACTATACAGATCATTTGGCAAATGGTCCAGATGATTCCGTTTCAGTCTTTCCGAGCGATAGAACTCCATAGAGCATGGTGATATAAGCACAACCACTGTGAAAGAAAATTCCTCTTCAGGCATGGTGAGAACACTGTGTCGGCCCTTTTCTTAACCATTTAAATCAAATGGATCAGCTGGACTGCCTCTCTCAACATTCTTATGATACCGCTTACTCTGCTCACTGTAATGGAAGAAATCAGGCACAGATTTTCTTACACCCGCAAGCAAACTTAGAAGGGTGACAGAGTTAAACGATATCTAAATTTTATCAATCATATTTAGAAGACCGCTTATGTGAATATTGTTACGAATGTGACCTGGTTTTGATCTTTTGGGCAACCAGAAGGCTCTCGTGATACGTTTCCCCGCTGAAGTAAGCCCCAGAGTGGCATTTTATCAAGCTTAAACGTCGATTATTGGTCATTCAATTTTCAGCTCTGGCAGCTATTGAATGGTGGCGGTGAAGCTGCATAGCTGAAGAAATGTGACTGCATGTCATCACATGCCTTCAGTTGTCATTCAAGGAAAGTTAAATAGAGACTTAGCTCCTGAGACTTGGTTCTTCTTTGTCCAAACCAAAGCAGTCAATCTACAATTGCGCACCTTCAGCACATCCACTTGCCATCCCAATTACCTCTACATACAATCAAGAAATAGTCATGGCCCGGCACACAGGTCTTGATCAGACAGATCTTTACGGAGCCAAGCTCGCGGAACTTGTCGCTCAAAATGTCTCAAACCCACTTCCAGCAGAAAATGCAATCAATGCTCGACTGACTGGCATTGATGGAACTAGTACTGCCGTCCTGGCAAGCAAGATCACGACGGCCACCAACAACTTTGGCGGCTTCGCCCTAGTCCTCCACGACGATCCAAAGTACAACGACTTCTACTGGCTCCAGTTCATCACCCGACAGCTTGTTGTCGATAATGTTGCCAAAACCGGTAAATTGGTCAACAGAGCATCGACTCCTGCATACGAGCTGGTAGACGCCGCGGCAGAGGTCACAGACTTCGCCAGTGGCGCTGGAGCATCAAACTGGAACACCTGTTGGGGAGTTGACTCTAACCTCACCAAGGGCTGGTTCGGTGACACGTATGAATACGCGCACTCAGACGATCTGAAGATAACAGCCATCCTGGACCCTCCGAGCGTTCTGATGGGAAAAACCCCAACCGACACGGAGAAAGCTTACTACAAAGATTGTCCGGACGGACTGGTTAGTATGAGGACTGAGCTGGGGAGTGGTCAGGGAATCTCCCGCGCCTACTTCTCTGACTATCTCTTGAAGAAGGTGGACGGAGGCAATTATCGCATCTATGCCCGCTTTGACCTGACTTTGACTTGGAACGCAAGGGAAGCAGACAAGAAGAACTTTACACTCAACACTTTAGCTTCCACTCAGACCAATACTTTACTCGCCTGCCATACTGCTGCTCTGCAACATAGAACGAGTCGCGGCGATGATTCGTTTCAGGAGTTCCGCAGCAAAATTATTTAGTGAACAGGGACAGTGGGTGCTGTCGTGATGGCAGGCACCGACGAATCTTGATGGAGCAGGGAGTGCGGAGACTGTAGTCGGTAACGCAGATAGTGAACACGGTTATACTTCTGAATTCTAAGCTGGGTGTGATTTCTTCCACTCCTCGTGAACCTTTTGCACGAACAGTCCATAGGCACTATCACTGTTTGGAATAAACTTCCTCCTATGCCCCTCCTCATCCTTCCAATAAAACGCCTCATCATGAATATTGTCATCATTTTCAAACTGATAGCACTGAAGAGTGATGCAAACCTTGTCCGAGGTGTTCTCCAGTTGATGGACCTGATACTGGTTCTTGCTCAGCCAAGTAACCTGACCTTCCTCAAGAATCACTGGGTTGCCAATCAATTGTGATGGACTTCCCTCTTCAACTTTGTCAAACCAAGATACTTGGATCTTGCCGGAGAGGACTCTGATGACTGCTGAGGCCTCGCCGTGCTGATGGATGGGCGACTTGTGACCTGTGGGCCAGATCTCCATCACGTAGGGGATACCGGGTGAGTCGGCCTGCTGGTGTTAGTTGCAATCTATATCGAGAATCGGGAACTTACCAGATTATCGCCAACAGTGATGCGAAGATAGGTCTCCAGCTTATCTCCAAAGGTGTTCTTTCTCTTGAGGATGTCGCCACAGTACTTATTTTCATCCCTGCAGCTCTCATCAATGGCTTCAGGCAGGTCCTTGAAGTTTTCCGGTCTAGCTGTGATCTTGGCCCCAGAGATGTTATGGTAAAGCTTCTGACAAGCCTGGGGCAGGTTGGCAAACGTCATGGCTGTCATCTTCTCCAGTATGTCAAGCGTCATCTCCGACTGGGGGATGACCACAGGCGGGAGATCAACTGTGACAGGGTGCCGCTTGTACTTGATGTCTTTGCTGGAAATTGGAGAACCATCTTGCTCGACTTCAGTTGAGACAAGGTGATCCATCCAGAAATCCTTCTCCTTCTCCTTCTCCTTCTCCTTCTCCTTCTCCTTCTCCCCCTCCTTCACTTCCTCCTTCTTAAATTGAATTTCCATGAAAGTCATGGAATTGTTAACCAGAGATTGGCCATACCGAATGCGAGCGTTGCTTCTGTCAACCGAGATCCAATAAGTCGCCTTCTTAGTCAACGTGTCAAGCAAAGCTGATCTTTTCCCTTTCGGAAACGTGACAAGGTCATAAGCCTTGCTCCTATCCTCGCCAGACTTAAACGTAAGCTTTTCTTCATACGCGACAAACTTGTCGGCATCTTTATCCTTCTTTGACAGAATGCAGTCAGTCTTTGTGATTTCAAGCTTCAGAGTTGGCTGTTCCTTTCGCTTTTCAGGGCGAATGGTAAATGTGACGCTTTCTTTGGGGGAATCAGCTTTGGCAGCAATGGTACCAAGACCTCCCACGGCAAATTTAATGCCAACGGGAGTGGTCTCCAAGGAAGAAGAGATCGAGTATAGAAGATTAGCGGGCTTGAAGGGGCTGATTTGGGGTTGAGCGTCGAGTGCAACAGGGATCTTATCCTGGGGTTCCCAAAAGGGATCAGCGAAGTGGGACGGATCGGCCATGGTGAAGAAGTGGTGATGAATAGAATGAATTGATGAGAAAAGCGAAGATGTCTCCCTGAGAGAAACTTGTTTGGTATAAGTAGGCACTCTTCAAATTGTGCTTTGACCTCAATAAGCTGATCCATCAGTTGATACACGGCCAAGCGGCCTATCGCATCCGTTGAATTCGTCATCCAAGACAATCCACTCAGTTGCAGGAGACTAGTGGTCTTCAGCTAGCCACAAGAAGTCTTTTCAGGAAAGGATCACAAAAATAGTCGGTCTGGAGCGCTAGAGCTTCCTTTTTGAGGTCGATTTAGGTCTTGCAAGATGCTTGAGTGCGGGGGTGCAGAGACATTTGCCGTGTTGGCGTGGAGACGAGGAATCACAGACAAATGCCCAATAATGTGCTATGAATCTCTTGAATGTACTGGAATACTCAAGGCATGAAATGAATTGTAATTTTGCCCCTCTGAGAATCTTCCTACTCATAGGTAGTTGACGTCGGGATTTATGATCACGAGTGACATAGTAATACCTATCTGCTCGATACCCATGCACTGCTCCACAAGAGTACAGCCTCTTAGATGATAAGGGCTCAGATCTGCAGTCAAAACTCGTTGAGTGGTTGATAAAACTCTGCCCTTGGGCTTCAACAGGCCATAACTGATGTATGTCTCAGAAGAGCAGGCCTCATTTCCGATAGTATCAGTATCACACGATTGCAGGAAGGTCAATGCCAGTTTCGTTTATTCGCCTAGATAGCTATGATCTAAACCGTAGGAGTATTCTAACTCCACGGGAGGAACCTCTCCTTACTTTTGAGGAGCTCTGGCCAAAATAGTACCGTACTTGGAGTACGTGTTGTTAGACGAAGCAACGAAATCCTCAACCCTGAGCCCCGCCTTGGGCTGGAATACACAAATGACATCCGATCCTCCAAACTGGAAGTACGATATCTCCTGTCCCTTCTCCACTCTATCACCCTTCTGAATCGTTATCTTGACGGAAGACACTTGAGCCATACCAATGGGAAGCACAGCGACCTTGCCCAGAACAGGATTGTCGATGATGATCATGCCGCGGGTCTGCAGGAACTGATATCCAGGTGTATCAGGAGCGTCTGGACCGCACATAACACGCCTGGGTTCACATTTGGAGTTGACCTCCATGTATGCAGCGCCCTGGATGTTCTTCGCCTCAAGAACCTCACCCGCAACAGGGGCATGTTGACGATGATAGTTGAAAGTGTTGAGGAAGGCATGCATCCAGACACCACCATGGAACTCATCCGCATAATCGCTTCCTTGAAGAAGGGAAGAGATCGTCCAAGGGAGATTCTTGATCATAATCACCCCGTCAGACTCAATGTTGACAATGTTCTGGTTGGCAACTGAATTGTCATACGTGCAGTCGGCGGGGTACACAATGACACGGTCATTCTCTGGCTCTGCAATGGGTCGCATGCCTGGCTTAAGATGGCGTGAGAAGAACTGATTGAAGGTACGGAAACCACCCTCTGGGACCAAAGCCTCGTCATAGTTGTACTTGGGAGAGTTCTTTTGACTGAAACTCTCAAGAGACTCTTTCGTGAGCGAGGCGGGGGAGTCCATGAACAGCCCAATAAGCTGCGCATATACGACTATCCATGAAGAGAGCCAGGTGAGCGGCTGGCCAACCTGATCAGGCGAGATGGAAGTCTGAAGGTTCGCCAGAGGAGGCTGGTCGATGATAAAGTAGAACATGCAAAGAATATCATAGATATCCTTTCCCTCATAGTTCTCATGAGGCACCCATTTGAGGAGATCATTAGCAAAGTCCAAGAAGGATCGAGCATCACTGATGTGCAGCTTGTCCATGAACTCGGGGATCTGCTGGTATGCAGAGTGGACAGCTTCATCGAGAGCACCAGGCTTGATGGTCTCAAGGTACCCCGTGAGGACAATGATGATGGGGTTGTAGATGACGGGTTCCTCGCCGAGTTCAGGCAAGGGGATGATACCGACAAGACCTTTGCGGATCTTGTCGAGGGGACCTTTGGAGGGAGGAGGTGGCTGGAAGCCGATCTCAGTATCAGGGGCAGTGGGAAGACCAGAAGGCATGATGATAGTTTCTTGAATACGGTGTTGAAGTGAAGTGGTTGATGAAGAAGAGTCTGGTAATCTGTCGATAGAGCCGGGGCATTTATACACATCGAGCCTCCTCCCGGCCTCTACTCTTGTTTTCCAAAGTTGACAGTGTCTGTTCACTCATTCCCCTTTCTTCTCCATCTACAGACTTCAATCGGTCCTTTGCCCCTCTCTGGGCAACATCAGAAGCAATTGCTTGCGCAACACAATGATGTGCTGTCAAATTATTCGTCGATTCCCATTCGGCAAGTCTATCATGTCTCACAACCCCGCGTTCGTGCGTCGAAGCCCCTCCTCGGTCAACAGCAGCTGAATGTGTTTTGCATCTACTGATCTTGAGGTGATTGGGTGGTGGTTGATTTCCCATCAAGGTCGAAACCTGCAGCTGGTCTACGGGGGTAGAATCAAGACCAGATTTGAATTGAGTTGCGGTGAGTGCTTTCGCCTCTTCATGTGAAGTCTGTCTGCAGACAATGCCATTGGGCTACTCCCCTTGCCTCTTCTCTCTTGTCGCACTCACCAAGGCTCGGTTACGACTGAGCTGCCTCTTCTGGAGCAACAGACATGCTGTGAATGCAATGTATGTCGCACCTTCGAGCGGGCTCCAATAAGCAAGAAATTTCAGAGTTTTGAAGCTGTCGGTAGCTTTTTCCGGGAAGATTGGCAGGCGGATGGAGCGGGCCGCATGCATGTCTCACTGATCGTTATGCTTTAGCCAGGAACTTTGGTCGTGGGCATACTGACCGCGTAAGGCATGGTTTGCTTGACAATGAATCGCAATATCAGTTTAGTACGGGGGCCAAAACCCTCGCTATCTTGTCTATATTTCTAAGCTGTGTGTGGTCATTATAGGCTCCCAGGTATACGTCCCAGGTACACGTCTCACTCATGAGCAATACGCCTACATATTCAACAAGTCTTCAGAGCCGTCAATGCTATCGAAGAGCCACACAGTCTTTAGGTGGGTTCCCAAACACTATTTCCACTCAACAAGCTCTTCCAGGGTTATCGTAGAATTGAGGTACGCACGCGAAACTAAGCATAGATCCGCTCCCATCTCAGCTTTGGGCCCTTGAGTTCAGTCGTCAACGCAATCTTTCCAACCTCCTCGTCCGGATTAACATCAGAAATCCGAACCTTGACATTCTTGATTGTTTCCAAGCGATCTGAGCCACTCTTTCCACTTCCATCTTGAGGTACATCTATAAATGGAGAGTCTCTCGTCAAACCAGCCAAGCTATCCAGAAAGTCCGGAGCTCTGATGCGTTGACGGATGACTATGTTGGCAATTGCGCAAATGAGAAGTATTGCCGTCGACATACTAGTCGTGACGAACCACGGCTTGTGCAACTTGTATATATCCTTGTCGAATTCCGTCCATGTTGCTGTAGTATTCTGCCATGGCACTGTCGCATTGGCAGAGGCCACTCCCTTGCCACCAGTCAACACATTTACTTCATAAGTTGACATAATAATAGTGTTGAGGGCAGTCGCCAGTCTCCGCTCGATCACCTCTGGTGGAACTGGCGCGAAGCATCCAAGCTTCTCCGTGCCATAGGGATCATCCATGTCTCGCTTCTGCGTGCCAAAGGGATCATCCATGTACTGGTATGCTCCTCCGCTACGCTGGAAGATCCCCCAGGGATCCCTCAGATACAGCTCTAGGATGCTGGGTTCGTGAGCATTTTGGCTTGCGCCTATGAATGGTAGCTCTGCCAGAACACCCGAGATAACCTTTTGCTTGAAAGGGCTGTCAAGTTCCCTTTGACAGGGCATGATGGTGTGTGTCTAGCCCGTTTGGCCAGGCATGCAAGGTCGGCATCGATTGTGGTTCTACTGCAACCCACTTCCATGTCGATGTACGAGGTGCTAACATCGCAAATCCTTAAAATGGGCGTAGGTCTCTTTACACCTTTAGTGGCTGTAGCATAGCTGCATTGGCCTCCCATCACAAGCTGCATTTTTGACTGTGGTTCCAGTTCGGATGACGCGAAGTGCTCCGCTATTGCCGAACTATTAAGGAAGTCGAACCAAATATTGGGGTATCCCGTTCTCCCAAATTCAAAAGGGAATTCTGCTGCATCACCGAATTCTAGACTGAAGGGGATACTGGAACTAGGTTCGTGCAACCATAATGCCTTGGAGCCGTTTCTGACCCATTCACTCCCGTCGAACGCTTCTCCGCACGACAGAGTCTGGTAATGAAAATGAACTGTCATGGTTGAGTTTCCTGGTCCTTCAAATGACCCACCTCTGATGGGAAGACCAATGAGAGATGCGTAAGGGACGACTTCATCTTCGGGGACAGATATCCAGGCATGCATTTGGGTCATCGCTGTCGTATCCTGGCAAGAGTTCCAGAAAAGGAATCCGAATGTGTCCCCATAGATCCACACGTCCTTTGCGAGATGCTTCTCACTTTCCTCCAAGGCCAGTTACCGTTTCATTGTAGCGTGGGCTACTTGTGTTGGCATGAGAGACTCGGACATCCTGTGTCAAAGAAGAGGCAGAGAGAACGGTTCTCATGTCAGTTAGGAGATATCGTTCGTCAACTCCTCCCTGGAAGACACCCGCTCCAGTGCGATAGTACAGGTGAACCAGGCTTCTGTTATTCCCCAGGTAGTATGTTGCTGGCGTCTTTGTGGAAATGGGATTTCGCTGGAGACCCAGTGAGCGCAGTGCGGCTTGGCCTCCTAAAGGACTTAGGGACCATATAGCAATGACACCAATAGCCCAACTACCAATCCAACCCATCGTAAGGATGTTCTTCAGGGCAGATGCCGTGGTCTGGCTGGTCAAGAGGAACTCTAGGGAGCCTAGCCTCGATCCTCTTTCAGCACGGAAGAGCGCAATAGATTTGAGTAATGGTCCAAGGACAGCAGCGAACAGAATTGGCCATAAGGTGGAAGCAACGCTTAGGACTTCTAGTACCGTGTCGCCGAATGAGCTCTGTTTCTTTCCGTGCAGGTAAGCCATCATGGCAAGGATTACTATTGTCTGGTGAGCTTGTGCGATTCTCTGGCTCTTGAAACTTACCTGAATATACGATAGGGATGAGAAGAAGGAGTATAGCTAAGCCCACTCTCCGGCTCCAGGACGGCGAAGCATGTTGAAGGGACTCCCCGACACCAGCAGAATGGAGGAGTGAAGCATTTCCAGATACACGCGATCCAGTTGCTGAGATGAGGCTTTTCAACTCCAGTCGCGCAGTTTTATCCATGATGCAAATATCTGTATAATAATGAGGATCTTGAAGATACCCGCATCCTGAGCCCAACTGGGGGTCTTTTGTATTTAACCCTCCATCGTAGTACTGGTAGGTAGAGATTGAACCTGGGAGACAATAATACTTGTGAAAGCTTCCCCCAGGTGTGGTGGCTCTTTGCGTTGCTTATTCTTTCCACCCGGAGGTTCTCATCCCTCGAGAGCCACATCCTTAAGAGGCATGCGTCTAACTGCATGAGTGTCCTTGACTTTCTTTGGTCAGGTTTCTCTTGCGCGTTGCACAAGAGGCTGAAACTGTCCCAATAATAGCATCTATGTGACAACCGATGGATGCTGTTGGTCGAGAAGGCCACAGCCTGCCTTAGAGCTGAAAGCCAAATGCAAGAGCCCCAAGCCAGCCAATGTTCATACCAACGAGGTCACGAATCAAAGTATTTACTACAGAGTGAAGAACTGCTATGATGATATTTCAGTGATCTGAAACGGTCGAGTATGTTCGAGATCGCTGCAATGAACTCAGCCCAACCTTATAAAGTCAACTTCAACGGTTCGTTGAAAGTCGATTAAGAACTCAGCTTATCGATAACATCCGACGGATACGGGATTCCGCTAGCTCAGTGATCATCCCTGCAAGATAAGCACTAAGCCTCCGATAACCCTGTAACAAACCACCAATCGCCAATCCAGCGGCGGGCCAGACCTTTTTTGGCTCGCGATGTCTCCAAAACTTGGTTCTCTCGATGCAAGATCCCCAATTCTTTCCTCAAAGCCACGAATTGACGATGATCATAAGTAGCTAAAATGGAAACTGCAGCAGAAGATCAGATCTAATCAAATGTTTTTCGGTCATGGAACGGTTGAAGTGGCGGGGGGATCAGCAGCTGAAACGAAGGCGCCTCCAAAGGATCAAGCTAGGAACCAGGGTCTCCCCAGCTTACGTACCTATTTTGTTTAATCTTCCCTCGGACTCTTTCAATGCGAGCTGTCTCATCTTTTTAATTCAATCCAAAATCTCATCTTTATCTTTTTCATCACAGCCTCAATTCCTCACAGCCCGTCAAAATGTCGACCGTATCGCCAGAAACAACAAACGCGGATGTAATCTCGCCTCCAAAATACACAGCAAACGCTGAATCCCCCCGCGACGAGAAAATCGCAATTGAGTACGCTCCCCTCCACTAAATTCCACACGACGCTGACAGTAGCAAAGACAACCAAAAGTCGACGACGAAAACCTCCCCGAAGTCGTTACCGATCAAACGAGCCCAGCGCAAATGAGTCCTCCCCCCGCAAGCGAATATCGTCCCGTCTCGACTGTTTCTCCCGCGCCGGAAAGTACACTCAACTGGGACGGTACACAATCGCCACCGATTCTACAGCACCCTGCCCTTGCGCAGCAGCAGTACGCGGGACATCAGTCCATGGTCGTTCCAGCGCAGCAGCAGGTTCCCCCTGGAGAAACTGTCACGCCTTTGCATTTGCTAGCTGATCAGGCTGATATGATGGATTGTCCGTTTTGCCAGCGTCGCGCTGAGACAAAGGTTAAGAAGTCTGCTTCTTCAATGACACAGTACGTTTACTCCCCAATTGATCATGTATGGGGTATCTAACGAGATGTAGTATTTACGCAACCGCTCTTTTCTTCACGACTCTTTTTGGTGTTATTTTCCCGTACGCATGTCACTGCGCACCAAACATTAGTCATTTCTGCAAGAACTGCGGTCGCAAAGTCGCATTCAAGGAGCGAGGTGGACAAATGGAAGCACTCGGCACGCCAGATCATTTGAGGGAAGTCTCAAAGTATCCAGCCGCACCACCAAAGCAGAAATAAACTATCACGGAGGGTGTGGGGCGTTGGTAGCGATCTATTGTCTAATCTAATGTTGCGGCTCTCTTCCGCGACTAATGTTGTTGTGGCTCTTCTTCTGCGAGGAGAGGTGCTGTCTCGGGAGTCTTTCTGTCCTTCTTCATTCCGTAAGAAGCGACTGTGTAGATACCGAAAATACCCATGAATGTACTGAATGCGAATGCGAGGATGCCTTTGAGCGTGAAGCTGTGACTGTTAGTGGTGTGCCTCAAGGGAATGGGGAACGTACCCTTCTGGAAGCCGTGGTGGAGGGACGTTTTCGCCCGTGAGATCGAGGAGATCAGTGTTTCCTGCTGCGTTGCCGATGGTGGGAATGTTACCGGCTTTGCATGCGTCGAGATGATTCTTAGGGAGTTTTAGTGAAGCCTGTAGGGCGAGGGGATCTTCAACGAATGTCGCGATCAATCCGGACGTGACGTGCCATTCGATATGGCAGTGGAATAGCCAGACACCTGACGATTAGTTTCGTTCAACACTCATTCAGGAGACCTACCTGGGTTATCAGCCTTGAATCTCAGCACCACATTGCCATTTCCGTTCACGACAACTGTATCTCGTCTCATCGGCGTCTCCGCAAACTCCACCGATCCATCAAAGTCACCAGCGTCATCATCACTTCGATACAACACCTGGAAGTGATGGCCATGCAAGTGAAACGGATGCCGTCCATCATCGTGATTGTTAATAACCAGCTGCACAATCTCATCCTTCTCCAACACAAAGCTATGTGTATACGTTCCATAGATCTGAGGATTCGTCGCCTGCTTTCCACTCGTCAACGCAGTGTAGAGTGTCGGAACCTTGGGAGCTCGGTAGGTGATGTTGTTGAAGAAGGCGTAGTTTGCACCGTCTCGGAGGTTATCCATGATTACATCCAACTCGATACTTCTGCTGGGCTCAGGAAGGCGAGCCATTTCATCGTACGGCACAAGATCCATGTCATCATAGGGATCAAAGTCGTAGACGACGGATGGCTTGGGAAGAGGCTTTTCTTCATCGTATACAAGCCATCCTGTGACGTTCCAGTTGAGATCATCGGGAAGGACATCAAAGAGATCCTAAACGGTCAGCCATGTAAATCAAAGAGTGGCAAACTTACAGTATCCATGCTCGCAACAATAGGAAAGTTGGCAGATGAATCCTCCTTCATAGTGATCAACACACTGCATCGTTGTCCAGCAGATAAATAAACCATGTTCGCTGGAGCCGGCTTCGTGTATGCACCATCAACCTCAACAATCGTCATGTTATGTCCCTCAATCCAGAAATACTGTCCCGCAAAGGCACCGATATTCGCTAATCTCAAAAAGTACGTCTTGCCTGTTTGGACAGGTACTTTGAGATCCTGAGTTTCGTTCATGAGAGCTGCTTGAGGTACAGGCTCTGCACCAGTGGGATTTCCTTTCCTCATAAACTCAGGTATCAGTGTCTGCATTTGATCGTGATACCAATCCGAGACGGTCATGACAAGTTCTTCATCGTATTTTCCTTTGAAAGGTGACTTTTGATCGTGAATAATAAGAGGTCCCCGAAGACCATCTGGATATTGACTCTCGGTATGTGAGTGATACCAATACGTGCCCGGTTGAGTAATCTTTCAAGTCAGTACATCCTCAGTACAGAATTAAGAGACATACCGTAAAGTTGTAGAGAAACGACTCCCCAGGCTGAATAGGACACTGCGTAACCTGCGACGGCCCATCCATATGATTCGACCCATTCATAAAAAGCCCATGAAAATGCAAACTCGTCGACTGATTCCCCAGATTATTCCTCACATTAACCAAGACCGTATCCCCAACACTCGCCTCAATCCTCGGTATCGGCCACGCCCCATTAATCCCTATCGTGGGCCTCTCAAACGCACCATCTGGATTCGCCCTCACCCAGTCGATAGAAAAGTCATAAGACACCGTCGCAGCCAGAGCCGCCGGCAACAGAGTCAACCGTGAGATCCTCATGTTTTGACGTGCGAGGTTGGATGAGGGATTGGGGGAAAGTGGATCTTATCAATCAGATAATCCGACGTCGGACGCAAAAGAGAAAAATGTCATGTTATTATTATGCGCGGTTATTTAAGATTTAGGGCTTCTCTTTGGACAGAATTTTCTTAGCCTGGTTTGATTCGACGGGTCATACGATCAATTGTGGACATCGTGTGACCCTCTAGTCTCAAACCTCGGCCGAGAGCGGTTATCGGAAATTCTGTTATCTGATCTTTTTGATCCTTCATCGTCAAAAACATCATCAAAAATGCTCGATTTATTCTCCGTGCCCGTGTTCGTCGTCGTCTTCCGTGAGACCCTCGAGACTGCTATCATCGTCTCGGTGCTACTGGCCTTTCTGAAACAGACGCTCGATGGATCTCAGCGCGATGCTGGTATTTATAAAACCTTGCGCACACAGGTACCATGAACTGAGTCAATTTGAAGCACAATGGCTGAATTCTTTAGGTCTGGCTTGGAACGGGCTTAGGTCTTGCGTTGTGTCTCATCGGCTCTGGTATAATTATCGGGATATTTTATATTCTTGGTAATGATACTTGGGCTGATCATGAGTATTACTACGAGGGAGTGTTTTCGCTCATTTCTGCTGTAATTATCACCATCATGGGCGGTGCGTTGTTGCGTGTTGGTAAGATGGAGGATAAATGGCGGGCGAAGTTGGCAAAGGCGATTGAGGCACCAGTAACAACTCAAGGAAAACGAGCGTGGCTGGTCAATCTCTTTGAGAAGTACGCCATGTTTGTGTTGCCCTTTATCACTGTTCTTCGTGAAGGTATCGAGGGCATCGTTTTCGTCGCTGGTGTCTCATTCTCTGCACCCGCTTCTGCCGTTCCTCTCCCCGTCCTAATGGGATTGATGCTAGGCGGCCTTGTCGGTTATGCCCTCTATCGGTAAGTCAGTCAACCAACTGACAAACGTGTCTAACATCTCAGGGGCGGTTCATCTGCGAAACTGCAATATTTCCTCGTCGCTTCAACGTGTCTTCTCTACCTCGTCGCAGCAGGTCTCTTCTCCCGCGCAATCTGGCTCTTTGAGCAACAGCAGTGGAACAAGGTTGTCGGCGGCGATGCTGCGGAACTCGGAGATGGTCCTGGATCATACGATATCGACCGGAGTATCTGGCACATCAACGTGAGTAGCCTCCTCAGCCTTGCGAAACCCAACTGACAATCTAGTGCTGCAATCCTCAGCTCAACGGCGGTGGAGGCTGGGCTATTCTCAATGCTGTGGTCGGATGGAACAATTCTGCTACGTATGGATCTGTGCTTGCCTACAACCTGTACTGGGTTTTTGTGATTGCGCAATTTTCGCTCATGTCGTTCAAGGAGGATCACGGACATTACCCATTGCTCAAGGAGGAGGGCACAAGGACTGATTAATGTCTTGTTAGTTCCAGTAAATACATATCCATCGTGTGCGCCCAGATACTCTCTACATGTCCTTTTGGCTGTCTTCGCCGAAGCGTGCGCCTTGTCAAAGTGTAAATAGTCCACAATCGCTCCAATTGCTTCACCCTCTTCGCCAACTGTTTTATCCACCCTCCCCCAATTGTCCCTCAGTCGTCGTATCGCGGCTTCTTGCGAGGTCGTCCAGGTCCACGTGCAGTCTTGCGCTTCTCGGCAGAAGCGCCGCTAGCCAACTGCTTAGCCTCGAACTTCTCCAGCTCACCCGGTGCGATCAATCGCAGCTTCTCCTCGTTCTCCCAGGTAGAGTCGTTTTGCTTGTAGCCGACCCACTGGACTTGGTAGCTGGTCTTCTTTCTGCCAGCGGCGGGGATGCACTTGAGGATCTTGAAGACGTGGTAGATGTCCAGCTGGGTCGCCTCCTCTCGGCCTCCTTTCTTCTCCCAGTACTTGTAAACGAGCGTGGGGACCTGCTCTTGCAGACTCCATTCTGACTCCCAGGTGGTTTCGCCACCTTCCCATTTGACTTTGATGTCGACGGTCGAGTTGTCGGGGTCGACACGATGCTCAATGAACTCGTCAATGGCCACATCTTCCTTAAAACCGGGATTGGCGGGTTTTGGCGCATCGCCGTTGACCTCGACACCGTTAACTTCGTCGCCATTGAGCTTGTCGCCGTTCTGCTCAGGGTTCTTATCGGCGGGTTCGGCAGGGTAATCGGAGACGACGGCTGCAGATTTCTTCGCGGGGGTTTCTGTCTTAGGGGTGCTGACTTTGGGGGTCCCGCGCGGAGTGCCAGCCTTGGGTGTGCCAACTCGGGATGAAGTTCGTGGGGTTGCGCCCCGAGGAGTGTTCCCACGAGGAGTTCCGGTTCGCAGCGCAGGAGAAGCCTTGGTGGTGTCGGGCTTCTCGCGATGGGCCAAGCCATCTTCCTTGGAAGGGCTCTCTGCAGTCATAGCGTCTCGGGTTCTTAACGGGGAAGCTGGAAAGTCGTAGGGATCTGGATTGTGAGCGGACGAAACGAAATGCGAAGAGGAGAAATACCTTTGTTGGGTGATACCATGACTCTGCAGCGCAAACCACGATAGTCGCGATGACTTTGCGATTGATCGCGTTGAGTTGAGTTGTGTTCAGCGGCTGTGGGATTGCGTCACTGTAGTTGGTTAGATGGCTGGTCGCAAGTTGAGCTGAGCGTGGGCGCGTTGACCGGCAACGCGTTGATATGGGGCTGTGACGCCACAATCAGCCACCACGTTTGCTGACTGTCTATCGGCAATTGATGCGGCTGCATATAATGACATGAACAGAGTTTGCAGGGTGAAAGAGCTCATCTGAATGTTTTCTTTTCTGCTGAGAAATTGCTCGTGTGACTGATTCACCGACCATTGAAGAGATCGGCATCTAATTAGAACTAATACGGGCTATGCCGCTTGTCATGACTATGCCGTCATCGTCAAGAGCACACTATTCCTGTCAATTGGCAACTCGCAAGGTTGCCTGTTATTATTGGCAGTTTTATAGCTGATAACTAGTGAATGTTGCCTGTGTCAACAATTGACATGATGCGATGCATGGCGATCAATTGAGGAGTCTGCAATCTGTTTCGGCATGCTCGGCATGCACACAGGCGTTAGGAACCAAGGTTTAAACACTTTTCACTGTGCAACGATATTAAAAACACCTTCGCCAACATCCTAGCGGCTGTTTCATCGCGGGTGAAGGGCATATCAGCTGTTGTGCTGCCCGCAACGATTGGTGGCTGATGCTCATATCATGAGACCAAGCTACAACAGACCATCACACTTTTGCTCATGCGGTATCTTCCCAATGTGCAGCAAACAGTCCCACGTACCAGAACTTTACATTAATTTGAACCATCCGAGAATATGAGGTCTTTAGATGTGCCGTTGTTACAATCCTAGCGCTTGCGTCCTTACCCATGTGTCATGATGGCTTTCATGTGTCCCGCCAAACGTCTGAGTCAGCTTCATCTCAGATAAATGTCAATGGGACTTTTCAACTGCATTTCATCTTTAAACTAAGCTTCTATAAAGGTAAATCGGTGTGACTGAACACTTCAGAACACTGCATCTGCATATGCAGGTGTAACTCGAAAGGCTGTGGTCACGGCTCATGATGAGCTCTTTGTCTCTTAGTATCATCTCCACAATACCAACAAGAGTTCATTGATAGGCCAGTCGCTCTGAGAAGCCTAGTCGCCCTTATTTCAGTCAACTCATCTAGTGAATGGGCTCATTTGTCCTCGGTGCAGGCTATCTCTGGGCTCAGTTTTGTTCTCAGCTTCTCAAGGGCCAAGCCGCCAAGCACTCTACTCATGAGTTCTTAGGCTTTTATCGGTTTCCGAAATTAATACTGGCTAGCATATAACTAAGAGTCTCCAGTGCTCCTTGTAAAGTATAGCTGTTTTATTGAGTTGCGTATAAACCAAATGAAGGATCGTAGGGTCACATACTAGAGCTAAAAGGCTAACACAGAGGCTCTAAGGCGATTAATTACTACCGAAATTACACATAATATCGATTTAAGGATATCGAAAAGCAAAAATAAGGAGAATTTGTTAATGCTGATAACGTAAATCAGCACTAAGAACTCATATCAGCAGATTGAGCGTTGTTGTGCATTTACTTAAGTGCAGTGGACCAAAAGCCAACTAGCTTATCCTTAACACGGCACACTACAAATCCCAGAGCCTTTATATAGTAAACGTGGTCATAGTCCTAGCAATACGCCAGTAATAATTCTTTTAGGTATTCAAATGGCTCTATAACTTATATAAGCGTGAATGGGCTCTTCGGGATGTTAAAACAAACCTCAACTGCAGGGTAAGGTCAAGCGACATGAACACACAAGCAACCACTCAGCGAAAACCAATTGCAAAAGCCCTCTATTAGTAAAGAAGCACCTTAAACGCCATCGGATGCAGTAGCGGGGAGATCATGCTAGGTTAATAGCCGCCAGGCAAACTAACGCCACCCGCATTGTCAAGGATACAGTAGTGTCGTCCTCGATCGTACTCCTCAGTGGGGAGATGTGTGATATTGGACACGAGATCATGTAAGTCTTACTCTATCCAACTGCTGACCGTGGGATTCTCGATCTATGATCGGTATGTTCCTCCTTTGGCGATGACTCCATCTCGTGCCTGGATTGCAAATAATCGTCTCTATGATCTGAGTTCCAGATCATCTTGGCAAACAACATTCACGGACAACAAACACAGAATAGGCAGTTAAATATAAGATCCTTCATCCTTCAGACGAAAAATTCACCTGAAACCCGGTTCAAAGCGTGCAAAAGCGAGCAGAAATATTAAGTTAAGGGACAATCCCTTGGCCCGGGCACGTCATCGGCCAGCACCCAACAACAAGTTAGCTTCAATACAAGCAAACCAATAGCTCAGCAATTCACTACACAAAGCCAAGAAATAACAAAAAAAATGTTCTTGAACTTTTGTTCAAGCTACTGTAGATCAGGCAGGTGAGCTTACTTGACGTGGTCTGAGGCAATGATGGTGATATTTTCGTAGCTCCCGTGTGGCGAGCCTAAGCTGAAGCAGGGATCTTCGGGGAGTACGGCCTTACAGGCTGAAAGGGTTTGAGTCTATTATTACCCCTTAACTGTCTTTGGAAGTATGTGTGTTTATCACGCAATGCCTCGGGGAGTCTGGAAGTGTCACACGAGGTGGTGCTCCCTGTTACAGTTGGCGGGATGAGCGTGGGATGTAATTTTCTACACAAGCAACCACTTCCATCGCATGCAACTGTTCCCTGATGCAGGCTCACCCGGTCTTCTGATCGTATACCTCCTACAAAAATATCCACTGCTGAAACTGGAAGGTCGTTAAAACAAACACCTAAACTGAGCCTCAACAAGCCGCCGTCCCACGAGTCTGGATCCATATACTGTACAAGCGGCCCTCACCCGGGGAGACTTTTTCACACCCATGCCCAAAGTGGACCAACTACGCATCTCGTCCACATCCCATTGGCTACCTGGAAATAAGCGTGCGATCACCTCAGATCGCGTCATCGTCCTAGTCACTCTAAAAACACCAAGCAGATATTTTCATGACACATTAGCTGCCCACCCAGAGCTTCACCCCGGCCATGATTGGTGGCTCACCGAATGGCACGATTCAAGGATCGTGCCGTTCTGGCGGCCTTCTAGACTTTTGGGTGGATCACCCAAGCTTTTTGTAATTTTTTGCCTTTGCCTGGGGTTTTAAGTTATGGGGGAGGGAGGGAGGGAGGGTATTAAAGGGGAT